CGATGACGCTTGCGGAGCCCCCTGAGATGTTGAGAGGGACGTGGGAGGTAGGCCGCACCGTAAGTGCTGGTCGACACTCACTCACTCACTCACTCACTCACTCACTCACTCACTCACTCGCTCACTCACTCACTCATTATATCATATACATATTAGGGTACATTATGGTATGTTACAGGGTCAGGGCTTCAGGGCCTTGAGGGCGTCGGCGACTTCAGAGAGATCGGGGTTTGCTCCCACGTGAACACGGGCTCCGATAGAAGGGAGATGGAGCCAACTGTGGTGTACGCTTGCTATACCGAATGATAGCTGTCAATTCGACGCACGCCTGCTGAAGCTCGTCATGCTGGTGTCTGCCATATCCCCAGTCTCACTGGACAGAGACGTGCGAGCGGTGGAGGGCTCCGACTCCTGTGACCAGATTCGGAATGCAGACTGATTGAAAATGTATCAAGGATCTCCTGCATCGACTATCCAAGAGCAGGGATTCAAGTTTGGGTGCGACACATGCTTTTCACGAACGATGATGTTTGACGTTAGCTGTGTAGTTTCACACATCGGTTCCTGTCACTCCCAGTCTCCGGCTGGCAAACACTCTCTCATGCCTTCGTGGGGGGAAACCAAAAGGCCCGGAACTGTAGACCCTCGGCTTCCTGTCCTGGACCCCTTGCACGCGCAGGTCTCGGAGAGGATCCCAGTCGCACCCGGGCCGCTCCATACTTCTCAGCAAGCTGCTGGTTAGGTCCAGCCTCTCACAAGAATCTGAGGTCCGGCTAGCGAAGATTCAGACATGGCAGCACCGGCGACAGTGCGCAACCGTGCCTTCTCATGTTGCCCACGACGGGCGGCTTCTTCCTCACGTGCTCTTGCGACGAAGTCACAGTCTCGGGAGGCTGCTGTTAGGGCTTACTCGCGGATAGCATGTGCAAGAAAGCTCCAAGAGTTATCGGTCAGGGTCCTCTTTCCGAGCACACCTTTGAGCCACGTCTGGTGCTCGTCCCTGGGCGAGGATGTCTCCTGACAATTTCGGGGTAGGGGTTTGCAGACATGGTTCTTGTTAGACACGGCCAGAGGCTTCTGCGATCGGATGCATCAAAACTGCTAATGTCGACGGAGATGTTGCAGTGCTTGACGTCTACGTCTGCAGAGCGGTCATGGCAACCCCCTCTCTTGCCATCATCTTTGCATGCGGGCAGGCAGGGTTCGGCTTTGGCTGCAGCATTTCTGTTTGTTGGCAAACGAGGCACTGATTCCACAAACGTTGCTGTGGAGTGCCGGGCTAGCCCAAGAGCCGACTAAACAAACCCTGCTTTCCGCCTGGCCGAAAGATCTCTTCTGGATGTCGGACCTCGAGGGGGGCATTTTGGAGGTGGGCGCCAGGGCTTCCGTCCGGGCTGCTGTAAGCAATTGCTCATTTGATGTGACTCCTCGTGAAGGTTGAGACCTGTAAACGAGAAATGGACCACAGTACAGTTGAGCTGCCTGACTGTCCCAGCAGCTCTGTACTGGCAAAGCGCGGTTCACACTTCTGTGGGATTGAAAACCACGGTCATCTCGTGAGAACTGGACCAAAGACTCGAGATGCCATGGCTCCAGGAAGATGGTAGACGAGAGCAGAAATATTCCAGTGTGACTATAGGGCTACGAAAAGGGTATTCTCTGCTCTTAGCTAAACATAGCTAATTAAACCGTCAAGCCCTGCTGGCACTCTCATTTTGCTTGCTCTCGCAACCCAGTCGCAGTCTTCTTTTAACAACAAACCCTAAATCCGAAGCCAGCCGAGCTGCCGCAGCTTCCACTCGCCGTCGTAAGAGGTGGCCAAAAAGCGCTGCGATGACGGCGGTCTTGGCGCTTGCTCGCAGGATCTGTTTTGAAGAGGGCTTCTTGGTATTTTGCTAGAATCATGTTATGGAGCCCCAAAATTGTATTGGTAATTGCTGAGGTTATCAACCTATCTGTGTCTGGCTGTCTGGCTGTCTGTCTGTTTGTCTACTTATCTATGCGCTTCAATGTCTCGGCGGGAATACGGACAAGCTCCGCCGTATCACCGTTTTTACAGTAGCATATTCTTCATTGACATCATACTACGTGTTACTCGAAACGCCCAGGCTCTTCATTTCAAACATTTTCCAAAAAAAAGTGTACACACTGTCATGCTCAACAGCCCGTTTCAAGACTTCCACAACCCTCTCCCACCCATTGATGTGCAATGCAGGTTTCGGCAGTTTCAGACTGAACTCCTCTGTCTGGTGTGGAAAGGCAAGGTCGAGGCTTAAACGTTGGTCCGAGGTAAACCCCACATCGACTACCGTAGTAGCCAGATGTTGGACCCTGAACCTTGTGCCGCCTGTTGATCACGTCCTGACCCCGACGGGCGAAAGATCTCCGCCCAAGCGAGGATGAGCCTCCGGTCGCCACCTCGTCTCAAGATGCCGGCAGCTCGGAAGGCCCCTTTGGAGCTTGAGGGTAGTTTCCTGCTTTGTTTGCGGCTCTGTTGTTTGGAGGTCTTGCCGGTTCAAACCACACTTCGAACATAGGTCCACACTGCCCAGGAAGTCTTGCAGAAGGAATCCGATAAATGCTGTATCTCACACCTGATCCGGAACCGCCACACCCTGCAAGATCGAGCAGCCGAGCTTCTACCACCCGAAACATCAAACCCCCCAAGGCTTCCGCAAGCCCCGTAGTTCAGCTTCCGAGGGGCCATGGACTCAGGAACTTCGCCCAGAGGTTCCGCACGCAAACGCTCGAAAGACCTTGGGCTTGTCGGATCCCAGGCTCCTCTTTGTGTGTGGTATTTGGGGACCCAGTCGGCCCTTTCACTTTGCGGCTTTGCTTCAGGCTTCCGTAGAGTATTAGGGTTTGCCGCAGGGTGCTCAAGGCTTCCGACCTTCGTTTGTTGGACCGATTGAGTAGCACAGATAGCACGATTTCATGCCCGTGTCTTGCCCTAATCTGACGAAGGGCACACCGACCGCTGAGCTCATTCTCTGGAATGTCTTCTCCTGGAGAGGGAAGAAACTGCATTCGGCTTCTGATTGGTGCAATGCCCTTCCTCGACTCCTTATCTTACGTATTTCAGTTACTCCACCCGACAGCATTGCAAGTCATGGTTGATCCACGCTGCTTCTGCCACTAACACAGTCGTGTTGGTTGAACCGAAGCTGCCTCTTCTTTGCCGCGGTTCGATGTGTGCTAGGGACCACAAGGGACGTCACCCATTTTGACTCAATGAACCCTCAACAGGGTTTCCAGCAACGAACGCTAAGAGATACCGCGAAAAGTCGTGAGTCTAATTACGTACTGCCTACCCCAAGCCAGAATCCAGCCCGGAGTGCTTTCAACGTGGTGATTTTTGTTGTCAAACAATGCTTGCCCTCCCTAGCTCTTATGCCTGGAAGCTCCCGTTGAAACTATCGTGGGAAAACAGCGATTCAAACAGCTTAGCTGGCGCGAAACTAATTACAGAAGTGAACATGCAGCAGCTCACATGCTAGCCCGTCCCGTGCATTGCAGCCCAGCAGGAAGCCCGAGGTCGACGAAAGAGTCGAGGACTTTGAGAAAGTCGACGAGAGCGTTGAGGACTTTCCGAAACGGTTCGACGCCTTGAGCGACATGCTGCCATCGGCTGAGAGGTGCCCTGGAAGCTCTGCTTAGCAGAGCCAGGGGCTCCAAGCCCTGGCTTGGGAGCAGCTTCGAGCCCAGAAATCGGTCACAAGTGACTTTCAGCAGATTGCAGTGTCGAATGGACGCCTCTTGCAATCAATCCGCTGCCCGGTCTTTTCTCGGTCGCTTCTGGGCCGCGATTCCAAGCTAGGCGGTCTATCGATGCAGACGGAAGCGAGGTACAAGCAGGGACTAGGAAGCGCGTGAGGTCCGTCGCCTCTGATGACTGATGTCGCAAGGCCCGTTGTTGAGCCTCTGATAGAACCCAAGCCCTACTCAAATACCTCCTCACGAGAGCTTGGCTCTGCACCTTGTCGAAAATTCCAACGTTTCCGTGGCGCAGTTGGGAGGAAAGCTCGCCTCTCCGTCAGGATCAGTGCTTCGGCTTGGCGTACAACTCACTTGAAGAACAGAGATCAAGGCATTCCTCTTGCGCCAGGGCAGCCTCTACTCAGATGCCTGTTGTGCCAGCGCGAAAACTCGGGCGATCTCCTCGCTTTCAGAACGGCAAGGCTCGTGCAATCACTGGTGTTTCGGGTTTCGTCTTTGAACTTATGGGTCTTCTACCTGTCTTTGCTTTCATGCTCTGTCTCCCGGTCAGGTCTCAAGATACAGTTCCCTCCTGTCATAGGAGAAAAGAGACTTTAGAGTTCCAAAGCCACAGGCTCCCCCCGAAACCCTAAACCCTAAAACCCGAAACCCTAAAACCCTAAACCCAAAACCCAAAACCCTGTGGGGTCCTTGGTCGGCACGCCCCCTTTCTTGGCCGCGTCACGCGCCACCTTGATCTTCGCGGGATCGCCAGACCTGAATCATGTGCCCCAAACTCGACGAGGGCGGCTCGGAGTCTACAAAGGTTTAGGACGGAGAGTATAGGGTTTAGGGTTTAGGGCTCAGAGTCTACTACTTAAAGGATCATGGGACTTAGTAAGTAGGGTTATAACTAGGGTAACTATACTTGTAACCCCAATGAAGGGACTTATAACCTTACTTACTAAGTCCCATGATCCTCCAAGTAACGCTTAGGACGGAGAGTACAGGCAGGGGCCTTGCTAGAAGTTGGGGCTCTTGATGTGCACGCAGGGCTTGACATGGGCGGCTTGCGTGGGCCTCCGAAGGGAACTATGTCGGTAGGACTCGTAAGCATGGCGGAGTGCTCAATGCATGCATCGGCACAGGCAGAAAAAGACTTCTGAAAGAGTGCAATGCTGCATTGACTGGCCATCTGCCCAAAGACTTCGCTTACAGCCGTCATCATCGTCGTCATCTTCGTCTCGTCCCTCCCCTCATCATTACGATGAGCTCCTTGCCGCTGTGAGGCGATCGTCATGCCATCATGCCATGACTGCGATGATGACAGTGGTAGTTTTTTGGGGATGTTACTGGTGGTCAGGTGCATGATGGCGGTGGTGATGATGATGAGTAATGGCGAAAGTCAATGGGCCAATGCTCGCAAATCCAGACGTGATGACGGTCATGATGACGGTAGTGACGATGTTCACTGCGGTGGAGTACCAGCAAGAAGAAAACGGTATCAGGTCCGAGCGCGGCTGCATCTGCAAAGGCATCCAGCAGTCGTTCCTGCACTGGGCTGTCTTCGAGAACATCGGTGCGAAACATTTGCGAGCCGGCGGGTGGCACCCAGATCGGGCATCACTTCCCAAGGGCATGAAGAGCTGACTAGTTGTTTACAGCAGCAGCAGCAGCAAGAGAGCCACATTCCAGGCCTGCTCTGCAGCAAGCTGCACGGCAGCGACTTTCGCCTGCATCGCCAATTTCGCATTCGCTATATGAAAGTCGTGCGCTGTCGCAACACGTAATGGGTCCCAAGCCACCCTCGAAGTCTGGAACTTGCTTCCCCCAAGGGCCGGAGCGCTTTTCTGCTGAAGCCAATTCTCGCTTCAGGCAGAGCTCGATTTCGCAGTGCGTTAGTCGATCTACGAAATCTCAGAATCTGCCGGCGCGGATTACCGAGACGAGCATGGTTGAAACAGAGAAACCTGATTTGAGTCAAGCCCTTCCCGGTCTCAGCTGTGGGAATTGTGAGATAGGGGCATCAAGCTGCAGGCTTCGAGGTGGATCTCCAGGAGGGGCTGTTGACAACAAGGAACAGGGGGGACAACGACACCAGTCCTGACTTTCCCTGGGCTGGTGATTGTTGGAGGAAGTATGGTTCTAGTGCAACCTGACCTAACTCTGCAAGACCTCTCTCTCCATGCCAGCAGTCGGAGATTGAAAACTCCTAGGCTTTGGCCAAAAGCTGATATGCTGTTGGCAATTCGCTTGGGCATGCGACGCAGGCCTTCCTCTACATGCCCCAGGCCCTCTATCGTGGCTATAAGGGTAGCAGGAAGCAGTCGTGCTCACTGAGTGATGGAACTACTGATTTGCAGTCGCGAGTCGCGATAACCAGCAACCTACATCGGCCGTGATCCGTACTACAACATCACTGTTAGCATTGCTACTATACCCATATATACAGTATTGTGTTATGCACGGGCTATCCTAGATTGCTTGGAGGATCAAGGGACTTAGTAAGTAAGGTTATAAGTCCCGTAATTGGGGATATCTGTATAGTTACTCTAATTACATGATCCTCCAAGTGAGCCACATCAGGCTGCAGTATTGTTGGGACCTCTCTCATGCAGAGCCAGGCCGAGGCATGCCTCGAGCTCACAAGCTTGCAGCCCAAGAGGTCTGCAGTGTTTCGGGGGAGAAGCCCTCTGCTTAGTCTGAGATCAATGGGTGGTGTTCTTTTTTTTTTTTTGGGGGGGGTAGGTGATGGGTTATGGAGCACTTCAGATGCTCTCCCGTGGCATCCCAGATTTTCACGGCATCGCGAAAATCAATTGCCAGCCGTACAGGAAAAAGCCATCTCATCCTGAGTGACTCTCTTTCCAGTTGCCGGATACGGCCGTGGTGGGAATCCAGCCTCGCAGGGGCATGGTGAAACTGCTCTGAGAGCGCGCTTTCGGACCGGGATTAACCGCGTGGTATCCGCCATGTCGCAGTCGGGCTTGGGCGTGAAAGGCTGGACTGTGTTCTAAACCATCCATACCCTGCTTACTCTCTCCGAGCCTTCGCGGCCGTTGAACGAAGCCCAGAGGTAGCCACCGTCGCCGAGATCCTCCGATCCTGGAGGTGCTCCGCTTTGAATTCTGGACAACCCGAGGCGAGGCCTGAATTCTTCAATTCCCCATCATGGTCATCAGCCCGATCTCCCCCGAATGGCTCGGGTCCTTGATACAGGACTCGAACTGCATCTCCGGATCGCAATGGCCACAAGGAGACCTGCCGAAAAGTTCCGGGACGAGGCTTTGAGCACACGGCGAACACCAACTTGCTAGCTCCTGGATACTTGCTTGCTGCTCCTGCTGCCTCCCCTCTCCTCCTCCTACTGCTCCTACAACCACTCCTGCTAATGCCGCTGCGACTCCTGCCACCGCTACTATACTTACTACCAGCACTCTAGTCGGCTGCGTCCTGGTGCTCAGACTGAAACTAATGCCAGCAAGAAAGGTGACTGATGGTGAAAGCGCTTCGATGCTGCTTCTAAGCGCCAGCACACTGATGCTTGAAAATACGTCCTTCGTCGTTGGCTAAACTTTAGCGAAGCTACATGAATCAAGCTCTCGCACTGTTGCAAACAAGCACCTCATAGCTGACAGCTAACAAGGTCAGACAGCTGCGCAGACATGATTACAGCACTGCCGGCATACAGGAATCCCTTCGTGGTTTGTTGCCACGTCAGTACTCTTTCCATCCAAAGTCTTGCAGTTCTTCTCACTCATCATGATGTTGATGATTTTGCTTGTCTTACTTCCGTGCGAAGCGCCGGTGCCTGCTACCAGCAGTCTTCGCTGCACTGCCGCTGCTGCTGCTGCTGCTGCTGCTGCCGCTGCCGCTGCTGCCGCTGCTGCTGCTGCCGCTGCCGCTGCTGCTGCTGCTGCTGCTGCTGCTGCTGCTCATCGTATCTTCTTCGCAACTTCCGGTGAGTCCCCCTAAACCCTAAACCATGTCTGAGTGCCGCAACCGACACAACTTGGAGCCCTTGACCCGGGGGCCTCGGCCCCCAAGCTTTCGGGCTCCAGCACGTCCCGCACGACGAAAGCCAAGGTGCCCCTGCCGTTGGAGCAGCTCTTTTTGGGGAGGGTCTCTGTGGCAAAGTCTGTCTATGTTGTTCGTGACGAGATTCGACTCTGAGCGGTTCGGGGCGTTCTCCTGTCTCTGCGCACCGAGATCACGACACACGACAACATAAACAGGCGGACGCGAGATGCACAACGAAGCCCTCTTCAGGCAACACTTTCTGAAACTTCGCTTAACAGGATGAGCGAAAGCAATTGCGGCCGACATGCCTACGCGCCTTCTGCCACCTCTTCCGGTTTCCCATCTTCGCAGGTTATTATCTGCTTCATTCCCCTTGGTACACTCCAACCTGGACCCGTTGATACAGCTAAGGCTGCCCCGACAAGGATGGAGCTTTCTGTACAGGATGGCCTGGAGCCCGATGAAAATGCTTGCTCCCTTGCAAGCCCTCAAGTCCCTTGCAATCCTCAAGCAAGAAAGAAGGTGCTGCCCTGACTGGGCCCGTCAAACTACCAGTCCGGCAGCACGAGGCCTACTTCGCTTTGAGTTTGGGCTCATCTGCCTCTCGCCTGCGCTGAAATTCACGTTTCGAAGACTTCAGGACTCACCGAGACCCATCAGAAAGATCAAACGGCTGACGTTTCAGCTAATGTATACATACATCCAAAAAAAGATGCTTTCAAAAAACGCTTCCGAAACGGAAAGCCCGAGGAGAGGCCTTCTTGAGGCAGGTCGAAAAGGCCCCGGAGTTCCTTCTCGCGGCTCTGCCTGGGATCGGCCCTTTGGATGCCATCAGAGCCCTGGGAGCTTCGAATACCTTGGTTGTTCATTCGCCGGTATGCAGAAATTCATGAAGACATATCTCACATAGACTATACTTACTTAAGACCAGAAGAGACATGAACCAGTTTTCCAGTTGCCACCTAGAAACCTTTCCCAGACTTGCCCGCAGACTTGCCTGACTTGCCTTTCCCACCCTTATCACCTTTCCCCTTGCCCTCGTCGGCATGCCGGCGGGGGCGGGGAGCCTGCCAGGAGTTGCAGCTTTCTCTGTCGAGCTGCTGGTCAATCTGAAAGAGATGAACTACCGGGCCAGCCGGGAAACCATTGAACTCCGGATAGAGCTGGCTGCAATGCCTCTGCTCGCAGCCCAAGCCCGACAGCGCCTCACAAAAGAGGTGGGTGGTGCTATCTGGTGCACGAGTACCCCCCGCTCGGAGGCCAACAAAGTTTGCCCAAGGATCTTCATCGCCCTCCCCGCTTCCCAGAGTCTGACGGATCTTCAAGAGCTCCGCCTCGGTCTTCCGAAGGAAGTTCCGCACGAAGCTGGGCCTGCCATCCCCAATGCGATTGTATCCCAGGCGCAGCCAGAGGGGGACCTTCTTGCTGTCCCGCAGGGCAGGGTATCGGACAGCTGTGGTGGTGGCACCCGCCTCGAGCTCCAAGGGGGACTGCATGGCTCTCACTGCAGCTTCGAGCAATGTGCGTGCTCCGGGCTCCGTAATCTGGTTGTTAGTGAGGCTGAGCTCGTACAGGGTGTGCGGCGAGTCTTGCAGGAACTGGGCCAGGGCATCAGCGGCCTCATCTGCCAGCTGGTTGTGGTGCAGACTCAACGCCTCCACCGGCACTTCAAGCTCCCGCAGCATCGTCAGGAGAGTTTGCAGGCCATGGGCGGTGACTTTGTTGTAGCCCAAGTCCATTATAGTTACCACTGCGTTGGCGGGAAGCCGAGCAAGCTTCGGGCGAGCCCAACGGCACCAAAGCTCTACGGCCTTGTCGTCTATGTTTCGGCGAGAGAGCAAAACCTTGTACTGCCGGCCGTCATGTAGGTCCTGTTGAAGGGATCCTTGCCAGGAGCTCGTGACCGCCCTGCTGGGGTAAGAGGACCTCTCCACACCTTTGCCTTCTCCCTTAGCCATGTCGTAGACCCGAAGGCCCCGGCTGGTACTAGCAGCCTGTGCCCGGCGCCGCTGGAGCTCTGCTTCTGCTTGCTGCCAGAGATCATCAAGGCTTCCTTCCTCCTGGACGACAGGTTGCTCTGCTCTCTCCCTCTTGGGGATAGAAGGCTCCATAGCTGATGGCCGCCTTGAAACCTCCACATCGCGGGTGGATGCCTTGATTTCCCGTGCACCACGCATCCTGTTGTAGCGGTCCCATGATCTTTGGCCTCGCTCCTCCTCCACCTTCTTCCACAAATCCAGATCGTCACAAGGGCCGCTGGCTTCCTCTGGAGTTCGCTCAGGATCCATCTCCGGTCCGCCTACTTCAGATAGCTCCGCCATGGCCACAGCGAGTCCTTTAATGCAAGCGCTTATTATGCAATGGCCTGTCTGAAAGATGGGCTGAGATTTCTTCAAGTCATCCTGATGCTGGCCACCGCTTTGGTAAAGTTTCGTGTCACTTCCATGAACTTTGTTACTCTTGGATTTCGCGGCCGTTGTCTACGTTTGCCGAATGCCCTGAATACCCTTCACTCAACAAGCCAACTGGACGACATGCATACGCACACACCATCCTGCCAGAAACAGTGCTTCAGGAGGGAGAATGGCGGCTCACCAATGCAAACAGGGACGACAACCAAGCAGCCCCGCAATCATAGAAACAAGACCCACGAGATCCGTGTCTCACCATTTGTCAGATGCTTCTCAACCGCTCTGTGGCCTCCTCTGTCTCTTTGGCTCGCTTCGCTTCTTCTTCTCGCTGCCGTCTCCGTTCTTGCTCCTGTTGGGAACCAGAAAGAAATCTCAGCTGCGAGTTTGTACCAAACTTCCCCGAGCCTCCTGGACTCTCCGAATCTCCTCTTGCTTTCTGCGCTGCTCCTCCTCAGTTGACTTTCGGACACGCCCCCACTCTCTTGCTGAAGCGATTCACGCAGCTCAACAACGCAAGGCAAACAGAACAATATAATATAATATAATATAATATAATATAATATAATATAATATAACAGTAATATAATATGATATAATATAACACAATATAATATATATATATATATATATATAAAGGAAGAAGGATCGCAAGATGCAGGCTGCCTCGGCCTGCTTCTGCCTCCGGTCCTCTTCCTGACAGGATCACTCCAAACTCCGCGCGCCTGCTTCGCCTTCTCGCCCTTCAGTGTGGGAGCCCTATTCATTAGAATAGGCTACTGGGGTATATAGATTAATAAACCGAAAGCTCTACAAGATTAACATATGTATATCTAGACTTATATATATATATATATATAGGTTCATATATGTATACAGGGAGTACAAAGCTCTCGGTTTACAAGTAGTTCTTGGAGGCGAATTCCCTACACCCTAAACCCCAAAACTCCCTACACCCTTAACCCCAACACCCCTCAACCGCAAACCCTAAGACCCTAAGCCCCTAAACCCTAAACCCCTAAACCCCCAAACCCCCAAACCCTAAACCACCAAAGCCCCAAAACCCTAAACCCCCAAAAACCCCAAAACCCCCAAAACCCCAACACCTCAAAACCCAAAACTCCCAAAACCCAAAACCCAAAACCCCAAAACCCCCCAAATCCCTAAACCCAAAAAACCCTGAAGCCTGGCGTCTCTTCTCTTCAAGCCTGGGCTCAGGAGCTGAGCTTTGTTTTTTTTTTGAGGTCTTACAGAAACCTTCGAACACTTTTGGGATTTTTGGGGGGCTTAGGCTTAGGCTTTTGGGGTTTTGGGTTTTTTTTTTTGACACCTCTTTTCCACCTGCCTGGTTAAGTTAGGTCGAAAAAAACTGTTGGCTGAGGCTTTGGCTTCCTGTTGCGGCTCACCACCTACTACACATACACCCATACTCCTCAACCATCTGACCCTGAGCTCGCACCGCCAAACACGGGGTTTTGGGGTTTTGGGTTTAGGGCTTTGGGGTTGAAGGGTGTATCTTTTTCCGTGGCGCATGCTGTTCTTGCTCTTCCGCGCTGCGTCCTACACACAGAAGCACTCCCCGGATAATCCAAATTCGTGCTGGTGGTCAGGGGCACCAACCTGTTGCAACCTCAGCCTCATGAGCCAGTGAAGACCGAAGTATAGGCCTACATCCCGATCCTTGCAGGGTACGATCTGACGATCTGCTGCCAGCATCCTACGAATTTACATTTGGGTTTCCAGCTCGTTGGGCACTTGCAGACAAACCCCCGCCCTGAGCCTGCATGGGGAAACCTGACCAGGGGAAGTTGACCACACCTGAAAGGCTAAAACCCCCAAGCCCAAGCCCCAAAGCATTATCCCAAACCGCTTTACCCCTTTCACAACCCCAAACCGAGTGAGCCTTACCGTCGATCAGGGCGAAGAAAACCGGCAGGCGAGCCCCCCAACCCCAAAAACCGTGGCCGGAACTCGTCAAACCTCTGGAGCCTTTGACTTTGCGCTCGAACAAATCAACGGTTTGTTGCGGCAGCAGGCCCCTCACCGAAACTTGGATGAGACACCAAAGCATGATAAGGTGGGCTCTTTTGCCTTGGTACCCCATACCCTCAGCTGACCCTTACTTACCCGTCTATTCTCGCCAAAGAACTCTCGAGCTCTTTGAGCTTCGGCTGCTCTCCTTCGAAGATTCTCGGCATCGGGGGAAGGGTTTTGTTCGAGATTCTCTCTTCCGAAGCAGACGATGATGGTGACGAATAGGGTGATGCTGAAGATGTTGCAGTTCGTGGCTGTCATCATTGGTCGCTTGATTGCTTGATGCTGTTGATGCTGGTGCAGCTGTGACCATTGTGGCGGTAGCAGCGGTGGCGGTGGTTGTGGTGGTTGGGGTGGTGGTGGTGGTGCTGCTGCTGTTGCTGGTGGTGGTGGTGGCTGTTGCTGCTGCTATGTGTGAAGAGAGACTTGTCACTTTATGTTCAACGATCTAGTTCTGAGATGTTGTACATGGCAAGAACTCGCTCCTCTGTTCCGCTTTTTGCTGCTCCGCATCCGCAGCAGGACCTTGTCAGCAAGTAGTGAGCATGTTCAAACAGATTTCATCACGCTCCCTGAGCCAATATTTGTTTAACTAGCGTATCTGAGTAGTTCTGATCATGCGGGACATGTAAGGTTGAGAGTGGCCCAGCGGCCCAGTGTCTGCCAGACGATGTCTGGTTCGGGATTCATGGTACGAGGGCTCGGAGAGAACTTCGGGGGCAGTTGTGTAGTGAAAGAAGACCCCACCAGATGGCCTTCGACTCGCACGAAGCTAGGCTAGACCAGGGTCTTCTGGTTCTAGCCCTCCCTCACCAGCAGCAGAGCGAAAGATGCATCTCGGCATCTCAACCTGTTCTTTTTCCCCGAGTTCAGCCCTGAGGCCGCGGCGCTCCGGCTGGGAAGAGGGCCTTTCCAAGGCGGGAGGCCGTAGAAAACTTCGGAAGTCATCAATCCCAAGGCCCTTCAAGAGGCCCAGGCACATGTTGACTTGGCCAGGACCGGGCCTATATACTTTTCACGACGCAAAGGCCGCAATCCTAGTCAGTGGAACGACCACACGTCCCGACCCTCGAACCCATTCGACACTCTTCTCATATGCCAGCGGCTCCATGTTCGCGTCCATCTCAGCAGCGAAACTGCGCGAATTGACATACACACATTTCCTGAAACTCTGAACTCAACTCGACCTGGAGCTGAAGGTGCGCAGCATTCTGGCTCCTCTTATATGCCTTACCTCAACAATAACTCTGAAAGGGATCCTTCATCTGGGAAATCTCCCGCTGGGTATAACATTTCCTATCCTTGCCTACTGTAAACCCGACTCCGGAAACCAAATCCCCAAAAGCCTGAACTCTTATCCCCAAACCACAACATGAACCCTAAACTTCAAGCCACACCCTAAACCTGAACATCCAAACCGTGCCTATGGAGATCCGAGGGAGCCGCCTCGCGCAAGGCTTTGAGAGGAAGCTTAACGAAGACTAGATCTCGAAGACTTTCGGAAGGAAGTGCCATGGTTGAAGCCTTGCGATAACCCTTGCTGTGGTAAGACGAATGTTTGGAGGTAAAGCTACTGACTGGGATAGAAACCCCTCGAGCCCAAACTGGAAACTACCTCCGAGGCCCGCTTTCCTCAATCACAGAACCACGCGCAAGTTTCCGCAACACTCGAGGCTTGACGGTGTCGTTGGAGCTTCCGACCAACATTCACGCAACCGCATATGCCCAAGTGCTCGAAACTGTGCCTGGGACGCTCGGTGTCTCTGCAAGGTGTCTTGGACCACCTGGCTGCGCATGGCATGTCGACTCCCCTGCTGCGATCCACAAACCTGTTGATGCTTGCCCTTAGCAGTCCCTGATGTCTAGATGTGTCGAATTCGGCCAGTAGAGGCTTAAACCAGGGAACCATTGAAAAAGACGGCAATGTGCTCAAGCCAAAAACCAGAGCAGCGCAAGTAGTCGCATGCGCAAGGCAGATGCTAGCTGACATTGTACACAGAAGCATGCTTGGTAATTTTGCAGGTAAGTACGGTTTGAGCTGTGCACATTCCCGAAGCTTTACAACTTGCATCGATCCATCTTGGGAACTTCACGAAACAGCTGCCGCCCGCCTGGTCCATGTTGTCGAAACCTTCGTCTTGGCCCTCCTGTGGCCTCGCCTCTCAGCATCGCGCTATTTGGAGCAACATATGCGAAATCGTGCATTATATATACACACACATACACACACACACACACACACATGCAAACACATATACACATGCGTATGTATTCATATTTACATGTGTATTTATATTCATATTTGCATTTTCATTCGACATCCTTGGCGGCTTGCCGGCCGCTTCGTGCAGTCATATGTATCTGCCGACTTTGGATTCTTAGCTTGTCCTGCTGCTTCTGGACACCGATGGTCTGGTTGCCTTGGGGTCGGATTCCGGTCCCCGTAGCTGATACAGGCATCAATCCTGCAACATGATATCCTCTTGAGGGTCGGGTCGGTAGTCTAATCCTCAACAACATCTAGGCAATTGGAGCCACCGGTGGCCTTGTCGAAGGCAGGCTGAAGCAGGACGCCGTGCTGTGGATGTCTGCCTGGCGGTTGCTGTCGCAAATGTGCGCGGGACATGCTGTAGCAGGCCGCTGAATTTCAGTTGTTTCAACCACGGCCGGACGACTCAGCATCCATCCACCGTCTCCTTCCAATCTGATCCATCCCGAATATGTCTGGGACCTGAGCTTCATGTAACACTATCAATAACAGCTTATGCGACCGACGAGTTCCCACGAGGTACTTTCCACAGCAAAGCATCCGAGAGTGCAGCTCGGCCAATACGACCTGCCGCCGAGGGCTTCAAAGGGCTTCGGAGGAGGGCAGCATTTGGGTTAGGCAGGGGTGTCAGTTCAGCTGTGGAGTCGGACCTTAGGAGGAATTCTTGGCATGTTGCTCGTTTGTCAGCCACTGCTACCACTGCCACTGGCTGCCACCACAACGCTTAATTCCGGCAAATAGGCTGCTGTTTACAGTCGCAATAGCAGCAGCAGCAGCAGTTGTAGTAGCAGGAGGAGTAGAAGTAGCAGGAGAAATAGTGGTGGTAGTAGCAGTAGGGCAGCCGTCGTCGTCGTTGCAGTCGCGACGATGGCAGACGGTGGTGATGGTGTTGGTGTTGATGGTGGTGGTTGTGGAAGTAGTCCTCGTCATAGTAGGTGGTAGAGAGTAGTGAGTAGTTGTCGGCCAGGTAGTAGGTAGAAGGTCGTGTGCAGCAAATAGCAAGCAGGTAGCAGTAGAAACCGCAGCGGCAGCAGCAGTGCTGCGAGGACCTTGCCGTCGTAGACGACTGCTGCTACAGTCACTCTTGCTGCCCTCTTCTCCTTCTATAACTTCTGCCTCGTCCTATCAAGCTTTCCCTCACCTCTCGTGTGTTCGTTCGCAGGCAGGGCCTCTCCCACCCGGCGAGCGCTGATGATGTTGGCATCGGTGGAGGGCGCTGCCCGCACAGCGACACTTGGACTGAAGATTACCTGGGGTCTTTCCATAGGTCAAGGCTTCAGGATTTGGGGCGTTGTCAGGGGGAGTACTGGAGCAGAAGCGTGCTGACTCATCATCAACTTTGCCCTGCCTGCAAACACCACCCCCTGTAAATTGACATGAAGCAAGCCAGAAAGCCTCAAGCTTTCATTCCCTGAACCCCAAAACCCATCCAAACCTAAACCCTGAACCATAAACCCCACAACCCCTCAAAGCTCGGCTCCGCACCTTGAAATGCTGCGGCCCAGATCCCGGCGCCGGGAAGTCGGCCGCCAAGACCATGTCCTGCTGGCCGGGCAAGCGCCGAAGGAGCCTGGAGAAAATTTGGGGTTCGGGGGGTTTTTAGGAGTTTAAAGCTTGAAGGAGGAAGGAGGGAAAGGGTTGGTCTCAGGGTTTGAGGCTTGGGGACCGGACCTTGAAGGTTGGGGCTTTGGAGCGGTGTTTAGCGTAGTACTCTTGTCAATCTTGGCGGTGATGTGGAGCTCCAGGTGCCGACGACTCCGCGCAAACCCGCGCCAAGAGAAGCGTCGTTCAAGGAATACCCTTATGGCACCCGAATGCTGTTTCAAAGAAGACGAGTTCGGCTTGGGTATCATGATGTCTTGAGCAGCCCCCAGGGCCCCCTGCGTACCAAGGCCCAGCTTGCCCTGGCAGTCCTGCGCAATCTGCGATGGGGTTTTCATGGGGTGTTCCGTAACCGGCTCGGTCTGGGATACAACCCGAAAGCAAGCCTCCTAGGTTTCGTGCGCCGTAGGCCTTCCCAGAAAACAGTCCCAACAACATCAGGCTAATCTTGCTGCCAGCCTTGGCGCACCAGCCCTCCTGGCCAGGCGATGCTTCGGAGGAGTCACGAAGTAAGCCTTACCTAGAAGGGTTGCGCCTGGCTGGTTTGGGATCAAAATGGCACGAAGTACAATAGCGCAGGCCACTATGCAGCCTTGAGCGGCATAACGTTGTTAACGGTGGTAGGCGAATGTGCATGTGGTTACGCTTAAACCCGGATTTCACTACGTCTATCAGCTCGCAACAGAGAAGTCCTGCCAACGTGTGTGTTGTCGCACACTTGGCACCGATAAGCAAGATCGGAAAGATGGCGACATCCGTGGACGAGATGCGAGGATTTGGCTCCACGAGCATCCGTACGGATCAAGATTGTGCGACTAAAGCCGTCCTCGCCCTACACAGAGCACCACAACGCCTACTCCCCGGGGCCTCGCCGTGGAGCTTTAGGAAGCCATCGAAGGTCTCCTCTGCGCTATGCACGATCTCGCCTCGATCCTGCTGGCAGAAAATTCCCTCCTGACGCATTCAGAAAGCTACCCGGAGAACTCGACACTGGAAGATCCGTTTCTAGAGGCTTAGCTTTGACTGTCACCAGAGCCGGAGCGCCAAAGGCCCGATGCCTCTGCGAACCCCCGAAGGTCCGAAAGCCGTAGTAACGCTTTCGCTGCAAGGCGGGCCTTCCGTGCCAGGGCTCGAGCAGCGAGCGACGGCATCTCTCGAACCATCGCAAGGTCGTGCACGACCTCCAAAGAGTTTGGTGACTTACCGGATGACGCGTCAAGTTCGAAGCAGTTCGGCTACGACGCAGCATTTGTTTACATACCCGGCCAGTGTCTGCTGTGTCCGTGCTTAGGCTAGATTTGGCTCGGTTGATCTTTGGGTGTGTGAGAGTCTTGCGAAAACAAGTCGCCATGCTCGCCGATCGAAGTCCAACATCGTCCTTGTCTTTACCCGTCCTCATGCATAGTGTCCGATTCTCCGTGGTTCCTGAAATCTCGGACTACGAGGTTCTCTGAGACTTTCCACACTACATACAACATCAGAGCCTCTTGTGTCGAAGCCCGGAGCAAGTTTTTGTTCAGAAGCGGCCTGCCTCCCAACGCTGCACCGGCAAGTTTTGGGGATTCTTCTCGATCTGCGGCTTCGGTGGCTCCTTCCCAGAGGATGCTCCACACATCGCCACGCCAGTGCCAGAACATGCAGCGCATCCTTGGTCTATCCTCGTCTTACATCAGGCTCTCCACCAGAGAGGACCATACGAAAAGATTCACCGGCACAGAGCCATGGAGTCGGTCCTCCAAGTCCACCCGCTGCCGTAGCGCCGCGACGGTATCCGTGGCGAAGATCTTCTGACCTGCGCTGCGCAGCCTGCGGTGGCCACGAAAGAAAGAAGGTCGAGTTTCTGTACCGGTTGTGGTGGTCTAGCACGAACACGAGTGGATTTAGGACCTGACCTAACCCACACAAAGGTTTAGAGCTTGGGCGTTGGGTCCGTTGGGTTTCTTGGGTTTGAGTTTGGAGCATTTGGTTGAATGTAGGCCCTGTCGTTGGTGCCTGCAATCCAACTCACAGCCACAGGTGTTTGCATAGAGTGGAAGGCCAGCTTGCAACTCAAACCGAATGAAACCTCAAAGCCTCTGGAGGTGCTGATGTCTTAGCCTGAAGCTCCCTTCTGACCTTTTGGCACGCAAAGCGCTTGCACTTAAACCATAAATGTCTGCCCGCGGAGAGGAGAGCTTGCCTAAGCGCACGGTCTCGTCTCCTCCTGACCTTTGCACTCGTTCCTCACTCAAGTGAGCTGCCGACAGCACCGAGTCAAGTTTTCACATCCGGGTGCAGGCAGCACCGGTAAGTTTAGCCTTGTTGGCCGTGTTTCTTAAACCCCCGTATGTACAGTCTGAACAGTAACATCTCTAGCAAAACCAGGGCAGCAATCCAGATGTCCTGGTTCAACACATGCAAGCCAACACACCACCACGGCATCGAAATAGGGCCGCGCGAGACCACGCCAAACAGGCAAATGACAAGATTGTATCCGCGCCAGACGGATAGTTGGAGTTTTCGGCTCCATCCCGCTCTCTTGAGGCACCAATGCACAAGAGCCAACGCAAGGAACGTGGAAACCGCCGAGAAACTGAGTAGAAACAGTTTGCCAAGAGCCAAATCCGCGTGCTCTTTTATTAACTTAAATTTTAACCTAAATTTTAACACCATCAACCCTAACTGCACAGCACAGAAGACGACTAAAAGATATGGGACAAACAAAGCCAAGTTCAAAATGGAAATCCAACGTTGAGCAGCGAGTGACGTCTGGAGCATTTCTGGTTTCTTGTGTGTTCCGAGCCGAAACTTGTCGAACCAAGCCTCAGCCAGCCACTCCACTTCCTCCAATGCCTGATCTAGCAGCTTCCATCCTCGGGCCTCGATCTCATTGTCGTCTAAGTCCAGGTGACTCAACGGTTGCGATTCCATCGCTGCTCGCCGGAGCACATCGGCGAAGGCCTCTGCGCCTCGATCTGCAATCTTGTTGCGACGGAGAGAGACTTGCCGCAGCTTGCTACCTTCCAGCAAGGCTCGAGCCAAGGCGTTGGCGCCATCACAATCTATCTCGTTTTCCGAAAGGTCCAGGATCGTGATCTGGCTCTGTGATGTCAGACCTCCAGACAATGCCTCTATGTGCTCACTGCGAAGTGCGCATGATGTGCACTTGAGGTGTGCGAGCTTCTGGCTGCCCTGGAAGCCTCCGGCTAAAGCTGACATCGCGGTGCAGGAGATCAAGCAGTGCGAGAACGTGAGCTTCTTCATGTTGAGCGCCTTGGCAACCTCCTCAGCACCATCTGCTTCGATCTGGCTGCCAAAGATCTCCAGAACCTGGCCCCGCATCATTTCAGGGTCCCAGGGCCATCTCAAGAGGACCTAGCAGGACTTTGATGCACTTCCCAGCTTCTTAAGCCTTAAGCTTCTCCCGCCTGCAGCCTGCTGTAGAAGGGCAGGGCGAGGCCAAGAATGACGATCTGGCTTGCAGACAAGTCCGTGCGACTCAGGACCTCCAAGCTTGCGGCCTTCTGAAGAAAGACTCGCCTTTGCAACTCCATGACATCTTTGGAATTGTCTGCATGGGTAAACCTGAGCTCATTCCGTTGAACTAGTCTTTGGAAAACGTCAGGCGCCATGGGGGCTCTGCCATGGAGAGACAAAGGCCGCGAATGCTCAAAAAAGTCGAGAGCGACCGTCTGCGATGCCTTACCCCGCATGCAGGACCACTGCATCTCCGCCTCGCACCAGCCACGTTCGAAGTAGGGCGTGCCGTTCCGCTTCAAATCCTTGATTGGCACTTCCTTAATTTGTCCAGCTTCCCCGTCTCCATCGGGGGCATAGAAGACTTCAATCTTGTGCGTGGTGTCGAGTGCTCTCGCTGGCGAAAGCTTGGTGATGAAGTAGGTGTGAGTGTATTCATGAGCATAGAAGTAGTGCATCCTCGCCATGGCTCGATCGAAACATTGCTGCTGATAACTCTCAGCGCTGCCACGATAGAATTGGTAGATCGACATGTAGTCGAAGAAGTACCAAGACCACTCCTGTTGACAAGAAGATCCGAGCTTGACCACATGTAAACCCTTTGGCTCCTACTTTTTTATGGGATACGACAACTCCCACTGCAAACATCCAGCTCCCGGACTGCACTTGGATGATCCCGGGGTATGACTCTTCTGGTTCACTACGGGCACCAAGGCCAATATGGCCCACTGTGCCCTCGCTCCTGAGGCCAAAGACGAGAATCCGCGAGGATGGCCAGCTGGTGCCCTGCAGGATCCGGATGCTCCATCGTTTCCCACACGTGCGACACACCAATGATCCGCACCTTTTGGCGGAAGTCTGCGTCCGTCTTCCACCTGACCAAAAGGATGGGGGAGCAGGCTTTGGAGCTTGGCGGCACCATGGGGGGGTTTCCGAACCATGGGGCTCATGGGGCTCCCGCTGCACCTGATCAGCTCGTCTTGCGTGACCACTGCATCCGCCTCCTGCTCGATCTCTTGCCGCCTGACCACGGGCCGCTGCTCCTGGTGAAGCTTCCTCAGGAAAGTGCCGCGGACCAAGCGCACGTTGATCTGGGGATCCAAGAGTAGATCAGCCAGTGCGAGGGGATCGTCGAGGTCCGAACTTCCCGTGCCAATTTCGGAGAGATTGGAAGTCTCTGCGGGTGCCTCGAGGTCTGCAGTTCTCATGTCTGTGCTGCCTTCTCCAGAGTCTGCAAGGAGCAAGGGAATGCGGGCAACACGCGGGCTCGCTGCTGCTGCTCCCTCATTGCGTGGCCGAACGAGCTCAAGGCAGGTGGCAGCAAAGCCCATGTTGACAACCGAGGTCTTTTGCCTCAGTAGCAGACTTCATGCAGTTTCCCGTCTGACCCGCCAGCGGCAAAGACAGCAAATCACGGAGAGAAAGCCCCAAATCCTCGCTATGCTCTCCGCGGTCACACAACACTGATGTTGCAGCACGATCAGCAAAGCATAGCCAACCAGCCCCAACATGCCGTCCCATGTTGAAAAGACAACGACAGGCAACTCCCCGCCTTGTACCTGCAGGGGGATGCCTTCGAACCCTGAACTACCGACTTGGAAACCCGAGAAGGTAGCATGTCGCAGTTCCCATTGCCTTTCGTTCAAGGAGGCGGCGCCCTCAGCTGCACTGGTGCAGTGATGCAGAAGAAGTCAGACAACCCCAACGACAAACCTCCAGCAGCGGAGTATTCCCCTTTCAAAAGCGATGCGAGCGTCGCGAGTCCGATTCTGTAACCAAGCCGACTGTTGCAGTCAACGGTCCTGGCTAGATTCAGAACTCTGATCTTGAGAGGATTATTGGCTCCCTCAAGTGTCTGCTCGCCTCTCGACATCCTGTCTGCGACAGCTTATGCCGAAACATGACTTAACTAGCTTTAATTAGGGCAGTACAGTACAACCCGCAAGCACGACTCAGCCTAAGGCAGTACTTCGTAGAGCATCTCGCAATTGCTCGAAGTTGGAAACCTCATGGCCCACTCATGGCATCTCGTGGTGGCACACACACTTCTGGGTTGGTACATCGCATGAGCACCTCGTGGACTGAACTGCCGTGGCACGGCATTCAGGAAAGGGCGGAGTAGTAGATCTTTCTTGTTGGTTGTCTGCTGGGTTAAGCAAGGATGAACATCTCTGCTATGATGCTCATAGGACCGAAAGACTGATTCCCGATTGCCCCTATTGCATTTCAGTCTCAAATTCTCGAAGCTACGCCCGCAACAGCACCTCAAACCCTAAACATCCGCAAGAGTTTCAACAATCGCCTGCAGCAAAGGCCGCACTGGTAACAGTAGAAGTAGTAACACCAGCTCTCCATCCAAACAATGATGTTTGGAATCCGTGAGTTCTTGCCACAGAGCTATGAATCCTATGCAGATTGGTTCTATATCAACAAGCCAATGATAACAAGACTCCTTGACCTTTCCTTAAACCCTAAAGTCGCCTGAGCTTTAGAGAGCTTCTCAACCACGTTGTTCAAGTCCTTCTCCGTCCAGTTCGGCTTTGCAGCCTGCTTCTCAAGGCCCCGAAGCCTAGAAGCTTCGGGTTTTGGGCCTCAGAATGTGGTAGATGTTGGAAACTACGGGTCTGCGGTCTTTGGGAAGGGTGAGGGTGGGCAGGGTCTGTGGCTGTAAGAGATGCAGCCCATCAAGGCAATAGACGACAACTAGCCCGAACAGAATGACACTCTCACGATACGACATGCGATGACATCACAACCTGTGACAACATCAATGGGCTCGTCTGAAACCTTGCCTGTCTGGCTCGTGATATACAAGGGCTGAGTGTACGTAGGCAACGCACAAAGGCAGGTATATGGTGCCCAGGCTGAATTCTGAGCGTGAGCCGCGCGTGCGTGAGGGTTCATGCAGTCCCCCCTGCACGCATGCAGCGTTTCTTCTCCGTGTTGGGCTGCCACAATCCGCCCCCTCCTGCCTCCCAAGATCTAACTGTCGAACTGATGCCAAGTGCCTTTACAACCGTAGGAAGAATACAGTGCAATGTAATACAGAGACCTGTAACCTCATCCTTTAACCTCATATAAGACAGGGACAGATCAGCTGTGAGCCTGCAGCAGGTCGCGCAGCTTTGGCGGCGGCCGAACGGGCACAGGTGCTGATGCTGGTGCGGGATGTGGGCCTCAGCATCCACTTTGGGTTCTTCTGCGGTCTAGGGTTCCGGGTTGGATGGAGGGCCGTGACTGAATAGCCTACGGGCATGGGAGGGACGAGATCGTCGCGTTGAGGCTCCAGTGCCGGATACAAAACTCCAGACCAGCACGAGGGGTCCCAGGATCTCAGCCTCTGGGTGACCAGCGCGCTTGCGCAGGCGCAGGCGCCGCTGCAGCCGGAGCAACCGTGGTCTTTGTCGCAGTTGGTGCTGCAGAAGCCGGTGCTGGTGCCTTTTCGTGGCAGGTCACTTGTGGGAACGGCCAATAACAATATGACTTGCTATTCGGCTGCATGTTGCCTGACCCACGATTCTTTCGCTCAGTGGCAATCAATCACTGTCTGAGACAGACCTGGCAATCATGCAACAAACGGTGCAGCTAGGACCAGGCACAGCAGCGGCCATTAACAAAGTTGGGATGCCTTACCTCTTAGAACGTGTCTGCGTGCGTGCCCCCGAGCGCGCGTGCGCGGGTTCGTCTGTGTGCATGTTTGTATGTATGTGGGTGAGTATGTGTGTATGTACGTATGTACTACCTACCTACACCTAGCAAGTATGTGCATAGGCATCTCTCTCTCTCTCTGTATATATATATATATACATATACACATGTGACATATATGCATACCTACACACGCACATATTCAGAACCCCTATTACGATTATCAACGCTTCCAGCACACGAGTGAATCCATATACATCCTGAGGTATACCAAGGCATCGGCTGATTAAGGAGGTTCGCGGTTGCAGCGAAGCTGCGGAGAGGAGGACACCATCAACCGTGAGAGATTGCGCCCGGGCTCTATGTAACTCGACTGCTGCACCCCAATTCTGCACGTGACTTTCTGCTCGGCTGGCCTTCCCTGAGGTAGCAGGTGCAGCAGAAGCAGCTCCTGACATGTTGGAAGATCATGGTTGTGTCTCCTTTATCGGGGCTCAGAATGCATTTTGGGCAATAGTTCTCTCTCGCTGCTTCTTCTGCTTAGGTTTCACCAAAGAAACATGGCTGCAGCACTCAATGAAACCCCCACCTGCGGCCTGCCTTGAAACGACACTCTTCCCACAGCTTGCGTCAGTTCCGGGCGTGGTCTGGGGTCTCAGTCCCTTCAAGAGCTGACGACCGCTGAGACCGAATGAACGGCACAACGTGAGAATTTTCAGGGTCATTCTTGCTCACTATCAGACACCGGATTTCGGGAAGTGTCCCCACACGGCCTGGTATCCTCTCCAAGTTCTTGGCCTGGCAGTCAGAGAGCGGGTAGTTGAGGGGCGGGTGCACCAAAGGGGCTCGAGGTTCAAGGGCTCGGGATGCATCTTCCTGCGCGATTTCTCAACCTGCAGCCCAAAGTCCGACTCCTGAACGGTGACTCTGAGACCAAGACGATATACACTTCGGATTCCCCCGTCGTACCTTCATCAGCTTGTCTCCACCGCTGTCGAGCCGAATGTGGTACCTGCACAGAGCAAGCACCCATCACAGCGTTCGCTCACAAGCCTCTTGGTCCTCCATAACTAGTACTAGCAAGGCAGGCACTGTTGTCAACATGTCGGGGAGAACGAAAATCCAATGAACCGACAAGACCACACTATTCGGTCTAGCGAAAACCGTCGGGGATTGTAGCTTATGACCGTTCGCACATACACCCGAAGTTCAAGGGGCAAAGCTTTCTTTATGCCGTCCGCTCACATCCATCTTGGTAGAACTGGCTCGTGCGAAACTTGCGGGTGCATGGTGCTGAACTTTGGCCCCTTCAGAGCAAGCTTCCTCCTCGTTCGGCCCTCGAGCCAAGCATCCGGTTCAACGGCTGAAGCCTTCAGGAGCCTTCCTCGACTCGACCTCCAGCCTCTCCAGCAACTTGCCTTTCATGGACCGGCTGTCCAGACAGCTCTTTGGAACTTAGCTCACCGTACTGCGTGAATCTCTTCTGCAAGTTGCCCACCTTTCACTGCTGGCTTTAGTACTCAAATCGCGGTGTAGCTTTGATGCGAAAGCAGCGCTCGCACTGGGACGGGTCGCTCTGGTCGAAGGATCGGACCGGTCTGCCACGGTGGCACAGCTGGATAATTACCCGGCAGGTCTTCAAGCGCTGGGCCGGACAGGCAGCTCAAGTGCTCCACCACCACCAGTTTTTGGTCTGAAGCCTGGGCAGGGGAATTCACCAAACCGCAAAGCTCCTGGCCGAATCTTCTTCCCCCAACCATTACCCTGGCCGTGCCTCCAGTCCTCTCGCTCCTCTGTCTCCCCGTTTTCTCCATTCTCGTCCCATATGCCTCACATGTTTAAGCTTCAGGGGTATGTCTTACGTGACATCCACCACCATCACCACCATCACCACCATCGACACCGGCGCCATCTGCAGCAACAGCCTCCTTCCCTTCGAGCAGCTGACGAAAAATCAGAGTACACGGTAGGCATGCGCAACCGCACGCAACTGACCCCCTCACCATCCCCCAAATCCTCTTAACCCTTAACGCAAGCATCCCTAGCTGTTACACCGCTGGACCACCTATAGATACCTATAGTATATTACTCTATAAAACTATGTCTTATGTTCACTAACCTGATTCGTTCTAAGCTATATTGTATTCCGGCATGTCGTGCGGCAAACAGCGCATAAGACAATGCAGCGTTCAGGATATCAAGTTGTTCAGGGACTACTCATCGACTCTTCGTGTGGTCTTATCTCCTTGCTTATCGGGTCAGTTGCACGTTCGTGTCTTGCTTCCCCTCCCTATCAATCCCTACCGCCTGAAGAAGGTTTAGGGTCTTAGGCTTTGGGGTGTTAGAGCCTTAGAATGTCCAAATCTTGGCCACAGGCTCCGTTGTGGGTCTCATAGCCCTCCTTCTGCCAATTCCAGTCCCATGAGTCCTCGCCCCAGATCTCCCGACCTTCCTCGGCTGAGAGCATCCGGAGAGGCTTTCCGACTTGTTTGTGATGGCTTCCACCAGTGAAAAGAATGCCAAAAAACAGTTCTACCTACTCTCCTTAGGCGAGTAGCCAAGGAAATCGGCTCCAAGGGAAGGTTGAAAGGCAGCGGGGTGTGGCGAAACAGCCCCTGATTCGAGGACCTGGCAGAAAGAGGCTGTGGCCACAACCCTGGAAACTCCCAGCACTTGAATTGCCGAATCCTTCTCTTAAGGTCCCTACTAGACAGAAGCTTCCCTACTGCTGTCAAAGGCACCTCGGCTCCACAAGAAGGACGCCCAGCTCCCGGTTTCCACTCCAGTGTAGGACGGGCCGGGTCTCGGACCTGAAAAATGGGGACGTGATAGGTTTGAGGGCCTTGAGGCGTCTTTTTTTCAAAGTTTTAAACGGGTTGATTGATCGTTTGTGTGCTTTGCAATTAGAAGGGTGTCCGCGACGATTTTGTCTTCGCGTTGGAGTCTGGGACAAGGATGTCAGAAGCACTCGCTTTGATCTCGGTTTGGGGTTCTCCAGCACTTCGCATGAAAACGGAGGCGCTGTCCGAATTCAACACCCTGAAGCTGAAATTGTTGAGCGACTCACGACTCTAACGCACGCTTTGTCTGTGGCCGGTTTGCCTGTGTATGGTACCCCACGCAGAGACGGTGAGATTGTGGGAGCCCGCATAGATCCAGCCATACCTTGGATCAAGGGCCCGTGCCTCACGCCTTTGGCAGCTACTATCTTCAGATGTGCCCAAAACCGCTGAACCCGGCTAAAACGATGCTGAAACGTGCACCAAGGTTCGGCCGTGATTCCGCCTCATCCCAGCAAAGTCGGGCGATAAGCTTTCCTGAGCAAGAAGAGAGCTGCAAATACTGACACTCACGAGCCTCCCGAGTTCGTGTAACAATCTCCGACCGAGTCGCCATGATTGCGGACTTTCTCCCGTCCCGGCGAGTGCCACGGCGCCCGGTGCGCCACGAGGCGGGGCTCTCCCATAGAGGCCACTTCGAAGCCTTAGCGTGCTTGTTTATACAAGCACAGTCATGTATGTACATTCATAGAATTATACGGATTTCTACACATCTACGAACAAACACGTGTACGGCGGATGGAGAACTCCCCCGAAAGCGACTCATAAGCCAGGTCGCGGAGCCCTCCTTCTGCCGGAACCAGGACGCGTGGTCCTGGCCGACATGCCGAAAACAAGTTCTAATAGGTTCAGTTCGAAGAGCAGAAACGGCTTTTCAGGGATCAATGTCAACCACGAAGACTGCTGACGACAAACATCTCTACCCACCCCCCCTCATATCCACCACCCCTGCACCCCTGGCACCCTTACAACCTCACGAAGCACACCCCTCCACCCTAACACGACACTGCTACCCTTCCCATCGCACGCACTACACCCCTGCCCCTAAAACCCCCAACGACGCGGACCCCGAATTCGCCGCTGCTCGCCACGACCCTACACGCCTGCACCCTGCAAGCCCTGCACTTCGCACCCGCGTACTGAAGGTGGTAGATTTGGGTGTTACAGGCTGACCGAGCAGAGATCAGACCACTGTTCGACTCTGGCCTTTGTCGCGAAGATGAAGCTCAATGCGGCCATGGTACATGTGTGTGTATGCAAGCGAAGACGGCAAAGTAAGAGCTTACCTACATAAACGCGCTCATGAACACACAGGTAAGTACTGAAATGTGTGTGTACAACGTGTACACATACACATACGCACCTCAAGTCGAATCTGCCTGTCTGTCTGTCTGTCTGTCTGTCTGTCTGTCTGTCTGTCTGTCTGTCCTTTACCTTACCTTACCTTATCTTATCCTATCTGATATCTTCTCTTTCATTCTCTTCTCTTCTCTCCTCTCCTCTTCTCATAAACAGCTTATCTATCGGTCAGTCCATCCATTCATCCATCCATGGATCTATCTATCTGTTCGTCTATCCATCCATCGATCGATCTACGGATCTATCTATCTATCCTTCCATCCATCGTTAAATCGATCTCCAAATGCACGCACACACACATGCTCTCTTTCTGACTCTCTCTCCGATTCTCTCGCTCTCTCACTATCTCTCTCTTGAGTTGAAGGGGCCAACATAAATCTTTGTGCCTTCTGAAACCCTAAACCCTAAACCCTAAACCCTTCTGAAAGCAGTCTTGGGTCTGGAGGAATTCCCGACGGGCCTGGCAAGTCCCCTTCGCCAGCAGCCCGGCCCACACAATCATCAAAGGCCCGGAACCAGTCCTGGGTCCCAACATAGGTGCTCTAATAACAGGAATTTGGTTTTGGGAGTTTGTAAATAGGTGTTTATGTGTTCGGGAATCCTTTAGAATAGTGTTACTCGTTGCTGAGGCCATTGTATTGAACTCCTGAACCCTGAAACCTAAACCCTGGACCCTATTGAAGCCCCAAACCTTGAACCCGCAGTTGTACAAAACACCCATAAGACAAAGATGCACAAACGAATGTGGGCGAACCCGACCGTTGAGGTCTTTAAGTCGCTTTCCATGTATGCAACCGTTTATTCCGTGCAAAAAAACATGTGGGTAGTTGTCAAGATTATGGTCCCTTTTGGGGTACCGGCCCTAAATAATAGGTGCCGTATTATAATAAGGACCCAGAAAAGGACCATAATTTTGACAACCACCCATGTATGTGTGATTGGATGGCAGCCCAGGCTCCCCATCCAGACGGCTGAACGATGAGCTCAGGGCCACGAAGCTTCGCTCTTCCGACTGGCGCCAGGGGAGGTGCGACAGATTGGCTCGAAGAGCCATGAGCCCATAGTTGATCTCCTTCCGTCAAAGCCAGGGCTGAAGGGTTGACAGGCAAGGTGAGGGCGGTTTAGGGCTAGGCTAGTCGAACTCGAACCCTCAGAGACCAGTCAAGTCTATCTCGGCAGTTTTGCAAAGCTTGCAAGATGCAGCCGAGTCTCCAGGTGGGCCAAGAATTCGGCGACCCCGCTCGTCGCATGGATGTCGTTGCTGTCTATGACTGGCAAAGGGCCTCCTGGGCTTTCCAAGGTAACTTGCACCAACGGCAGCTTGCAGGCAATCTCTTCGTTTGGTGAAGAGGGCTCAGGCTCGGGATATTGGAGGTCGGTGGCCAAGAGGTCCACCTTCAGGCCGTCCGTTACATCGAACCCCAGAGTCTCTGCTGCGGCGAGTGCTTTGCAGGAGGCCGGGCTCAGAAATGCCAGGGGTAAGCCCGTCAGGCACAGCATCCAACACTCGTCGCGCTTCTGAAGCCTGGCCTCTCCGGTGAATTCCCCACGGGCCGCCGAGAACAGGCTCTCCGTTTCTTCTGATCTCATGATCTCCAGGCTTTCCTCCATGAGCGACAGCCTCAATCCGATCTGCGTGGGGCTCAGAGGCCGCGACTTCTCGTAGATGCCGGGGCGAGACATGACGAGGTGGACATTGCACTCCAAGTCAAAATGCGAAAGTGTTGACAGCCACTGCATGCGCCTATGTCCAGGAGCGTCATTGAGTAGCTCTGCCAAGCAGTGGGACAATGTCTGACCGAAACTCCCGCTTTGAAGCAGTGCCGAGACGTGCAAGCCCTCATGTTGCAGGCGTGGGAAGTCCTTCACCCAAACCACCTCATTGTTCATCTGCCAAAACCTGGGCAACAGATTGGCGCTGGATATAACAACCCGAAGCCGGTCCTCAAACTCCAGGAGCATCAACTTGGAATGCACGCTGCACTCGCTGTATCCTCCTCCCTCCACAGGCTCCATGTTCGCCTCCGGCATCCGGATGTCGGTGTTCGAGTGTCGGGAGAGGTAGGGGGATCCTGGAAAATGCAGGGCCACATCCTCGAAGACAGCCTGAAGCTCCCTCCAGAGCCGATCCCTGGTTGGCCACGGGTGCCCACAGAGCGTCACCGGCGTGTCTCTGCCCAGATTGAGCTGCTTCTGTAGCCATTCGATGTCGTCTGGCAGGTCGAAGGTGGTCATCAACACCGACAGAGGGGACACTTCCCGGTCCCCCACGCGGTTTAGATCCCGGATCCCAAGCGCTGCGGTGTTCAAACTTTCGCCCAAGCCCAGCCGAGGCTCCGAGATGGGAACAGTCAGAAACGGCTCCTCTCCCTCCGAGCTCTTGGCCACAGCCTCCTCGAGCTCCAGCTGTTCCTCTTCTGTGAGGAGGGGGTCATCCACCTCTGATGATAGCAAAGTCAGAAAATCAAACGCTAAAGACCCTCTGCCTTCGAAGCTGAACTCCACAACAGGCCCAGGCACTTCCAGGGCGACCTCTTCGATTCTATTCAGCCAGAAGCCGTCGCCTTTGAACCAATCTCCAGGGGGGCAATCACTCCAGGCGCCTGGGTTTCATCGTCGAGTTCTCAAGCGACAAGTGTCCCCACACCCGAACCTGGCCCGACAAACTCCCGGAACCGTGTGGTCAGGGTCTGAGCATCCCGAAGCCAGGGCCAAAGCCCCGAAGACTGCAAGATTCCCTCCAAACCTGCCTAGATGCTCCATGACCTTGCCGGATCTTCCTGCGACAAGGGCTCAGCATCTACGCATTGGAGGGTGGAGGGGTGCGGCTGGCGAGTGCTCTAAAAACATCCGTCATCCAGCGCTGCACAGCATCCACGCTGAAGTTCCAATCGGAACGACATGGGACGATCACCTTCGATCTTGGCGTGTGTTGCACACCACTGTAGCAAGCGCATGCCTGAAACACAGCATTCCTGACACCCAGCACCTGACTCGTGCAAGTTCAAAGCATTTCAGAGGCGTCCTGCGAAGCTGCAAAGTTGGCGATCACCAAGGTGGTATAGCCATCGACGCGCTTCGGGATCCAGCCGTCTATCGGAACCTCGACTGGGGCAAAGTAGTGGTTTCAGCATGACTCTGTCTAGGCACATGCAGCAGCACGAAGCAGCAATTAATCCGTGCAGCGTCTGGTGATTCTCCATCCTTGATGCGAAAGATGATGTAGTAGTCCGAGTTCATTGCGTCATCGGCGACAAGGACAATTCTTGACAACTCCGGCTCAAGAAGCTCTTTGACAACCAATGCCTCCGAGGATGGGCGATCGAGGATGCGGAGCGTCTTGAACTTCTCACGGAACTCTCGGCCTGCAACGTACCTCGGTTGTGCCGCACTTTGTCCGGGAAAATGCCACAACAACTGCTGCGAACTGGACGTGAGCTCAGCTAACACTTCTGTGGGAGCCACGGCGCTCAAGCTTCGCATGCTTCGCCTGACACCGATCGGACTGGAACGGGGGCTTGCGTGTCGTTTCATGACATGCACACATCCTGCCTTGTTCTTTGCCAAGAGCTTGTCCACCGATGTAATATTCTGTATCGTGCTGGAGATTTGTTGGTTCAACTCTTTCGCATATCCGACTGCATCTTGTGGTTCTTGCATCAGCCGTTCCAGGCATCTTCTTTGTGCCTGCGCCAGCTCCTCCGCCAACTCGGTGAGCTGTCGGTGCACATGTTCTGTGGGATCTTCCGATACGGTCGAGACAATGCTTCGCTTCCTTGTGTCGAACATCAAGCAGTAGAAGATCAAGTCTTGGGCCAGCTCGACAATGTCGCGACGCGGAATGTATGTGGGCTTCGCATTCAAACTCATGAATGCGTGTTGCACACACGGAAGAACCCTCCAGGGATATACCTCCATGCCCAGGAGACAGCAGGACTCGCGCGCGTCTACAGCATATTGCAACTGCCTCAGAATATCCTCAGGTGTTCGACAGGGGCCAGGTTGAAAGCCCTGGGCTTGACAATGAATCGTCATGCCTTGTATCGCCTTTGCTTGTCTCCGCCACTCTTGTTGCTTCACAGGCCCGCCACCAGCAGCTACTGAGGCAGCTACTGAGGCCCCCCAAGCTTCAAACTCAGCGGCGAGGATGCCTGACTCAGATCTAGTGGAGCAGTTCGCGGTCGCACTCGCATCCAGCTTGATTCCAAGGAATTTGGCTGCCACAAAGTGTGTGCCAAACTCTTCGGTGAAGCGTTGCAGGGCCGCGGCTTCTCCGTCATAGGCTCCATCACGTGGTGCGAGAACTTTGAGCGCTGTATCTGAGAGGCGTGCCTCGAATGGATCCTTGGGAATCAGGATAGCAGGATACTGGTAGCTCAACATCTTCGAGGAAGACCTGCCTTGATGCCACAGGCTGCCTGCGATGCTGGGTGCGAGGCTATCTTGTGACGTTCAGTCTCTGAGATGAATGTTAGCAGGACGGTCGCACTGGTGTCCTGACAGAGATGCGATGAACAGCAATATTGCCGGCACATGAGAACAGCAGAGACATCGAAGGCTCTCCTGCGTATTGACCCCAAAAGCCATTTCAGCCGACGTCGACACTGATGCCCCCCAGCCAGGCGCTTCTAGCCGAGCGCAGCTCTTGGAGTGCTTCAGGGCATCTTCAACTCTGTCCACTTTCGTGACTATCAGCTCGCTGCAGTAAGGCTTTGTCCGGCTGTGTGTCTGCAATGTCGTGGACATGTCCAGGGGACAGCCTCTTGGCCGGATATCGGTATGAAGGAAGCTGACACCGAATCCGAGTCCAACGCCTGACCAAGTTTCACACAGCTTCATCAGCCGTTGGTGCAAATCAAGTGTGAGAGTGGGCTGAGGAAATCAAAGCGCCGCACTGTGCTTGCATTGCACGAACCACGGTTCCGCAGCCTCCTGGCCTCGGGCGAACCCTTTCATGACAGATCCAAAGGCAACTGCCTGCAATGCAGGGGGGCCGGTTTCCTTCTGGGGATCCGACCCATCGCTCAAAACAGCCAACCCACCTACAGGCAGGACTTGACCGTAGAACGAGCTTGCTCTGGCGGTCACACCCCTAAAGTGCCACCGGGCCTGGGCTGATGAAAGCACGGGTGTCTGTGCTTGGCGCTCAGCTGACTCAGCTGAAGTGGCCAGTGGTCACTACCCGGACCGTGTCGCTGATCATGGCTTCAAGCTGAGTGTGTCTTGCAGTGCATCTGTGGGCCGAAAGCGCGACGTGCACTGACTGGACACATGGAATCGGACATGACAGAGCCAGAGCTAGCAGAAGACCCGACACCTTCGCGGTCTACATTCTAAGAGATTCTGTGCTACAAGACATGTCCCAGCCTCCTGACAAAGCAGCCCACCGTTTTTAACCTCCGCCGCTTCCGAGGATCAGGTCGAAACGGGGACCTGAGCAGTCATCCGTGGAGAACCAGCAAAGAGGCAGACAGTCCACAAACGGCAAGGAGTGTTGCACTCCTTGTGCTGTGGAAGTCATGGCTCGCGCCGCTAATAACAAGTTAAACACTAAGCTAAGTACTAAGGCACTAAGGAAACTAAGGGACCTAAAGCGTCCCTGCTTCTAATTGGCACCGGCCGTCAGGAGCAGCCGTGCGATCTCTGTATGACCGCCTTCAGCTGCAAGAGCGAGGGCTGTCTCGCCACTCGCGTTGGGCCGGTTGCTGTCTGCCATCGCCGCCAGCAGTGATCTCACGACGGAAAGGTTCCCACATCGTGCGGCCATGCAGAGAGGAGTGTCGCCGGCGCTATTTGTGTGCTCCAAATACGCCCCAGCGTCAAGGAGCAAGGCTAGAATCCCCAAATGGCCGTTTTGGCAAGCGACACAGACAGGCGTGTCACCGCTCACGTGCAATGCAGGGTCGACATATGCATCAGCTTCCAGCAAGCAGCTTGCGATATCCTCGTGGCCAAAGTAAGCGGCGATGTAGAGAGGCGTGCAGCCGCTCTGGTCTGGACGGTCCTTCCCAGCTCCAGTCCTCAAAAGCAAGTCCACAACATCTGTGTGGCCACCACGGCACGCGATGTGAAGCGCGGTTTCGCCGCGGTTGTTCGCCTGGTGGGGGTCCACGGCGGCCTGCAGAAGCAGCGAAACGATTCCGACATGGCCTCCTTTGGATGCAACCAAGAGCGGCTTGTGCTGCCTGTGCCTGATTCCACGGTTTTTGTCGGCACCGGCATCCAAAAGCAAACGTGCGACATCCACGTGACCTCCTGCACATGCCAGGAAGAATGGGGATGGCTCTCCTTCCTTGGCCGGCTCGACTTGGGCATCCGCTTCCAGAAGCAAGCGAGCCACTGTAAGGTGGCCGTACTGTGCAGCTGCGCAGAGGGCCGTGGCACCATGACCCGTTCGAGTTCGATCTGGGGCAGCATCTGCCTCCAGGAGCAGACGGAGAATTTCGATTTGGTTCTCCTGTGCAGCGGTCCACAAGGGGCTAAAGCCGAAATCGTAGTCCGGGAGTTGGCGCAAGATCTGCTCAACCTCCAGAGACTGCCCTCGTTCAACGGCCATTTGTATCTGCTCTTTTTGGTCCTTGGATGCCTCGATAAAGCTTCTCAGCACAAGAGTCACGTCCATGGGAGAATCGAGCTTCTCATCGTCCTGCAGAATCTGGCTTCCGTGGAGTAGGAACTCCTTGCTTGGATGCGATCGCCGGCGCAGCTTGCGCAGCTGCCTTTTCAGTGCCCTCACAGAAAGCTCTTCGAGGTCGATGGCGACGGTGGCGAGCACTTCTCCACTGGGCCAAGCGACACGAAGCATGGCGGAAGCCTCACAGGCGCTCCATTCTGCAAGGGGTCTATGGACCTAGGCTGACAAACGGCTTCCAGGTGCCACGCAGAACTTTGAGCTGAACTCAGCCCGAGAGTTCACGAAAAGACTGTGGAGCTCTCAGCATTCCTCACATGGCAGCGACCTGAAACCCTGCGAGGTTTCAGCTCCCGAGGCTTCCGTGGGGTCCCAGGCCTGCTTCCCTGGACCGTCACCACCACACCGCTGCAGTGATTCAGCTCGGGTCGGGTTTCCAAGCCCACGAGCCTGGCCCAATTGCTGCCGCAGGGCTTTGTCGGCAGAGGTTGTCATTCAAGACAGCGTTGAAGAATGTTGGGTACAGGTGGTATGGCTTGCGGGGGTAGAGCTTCGAGCTTACGATTTGGGGAAGGCTGCTGCTATAAATGCTGTCTAGTATGAAAACCACCTGCCTTTCCTTGTCATTGTTGTGCAACATGGCCTTCCCAAGAGTCCAGTCTTGTTCTTAGTTGCTGGCCACCTGGGCTCTGGTGCTAGCCTGTTTTTGAGCTTTGCACAGGTTTACATACTGCATTCCCGACACTGAACCTACACCCGAATCCCTATCACTTAACCCTATATACCATACTCCTTCAAGCCCCAAACAAAACCCAATCCCCAAACCTCTGAACTCAAATCCCCAAACCCCACTCTCAAAGCCCTAGTCTCACAACCCAAATCCCTAAACCCAATCCCCAAACCCCTAAACTCAAATCCCCAAACCCCACTCCCAAAGCCCTAGTCCCACAACCCAAAGCCCTAAAACCAATCACCAAAGAGGTCTGAGGCCCCCGCCTCACCCGAGATCCCACTTCGAAGCCCCTGGAGATGGACCCAAGTCTCCGAGAGTATCGAAGAAGAAATGAAAGGCCAATGATTCTCAAATGATGACAGAACGAGCATCATGAGTGCTGATGAGTACTGTTTGAAGGTACTAATTTTATATTCTGTAGAGTGTTGCTATGATTAGAACTATTGCTACTATACTTATGAACATTCCATTTTGGCGGTGTTCTTGTTATTCAGATTATCTCAACGATGAGGGCCTGGGACGTCCGGAAGTGTGAGAATAATGGCTAGCTAAGAAATGGTGGATACCCCACACTGCGAGATGAAATTTGTATTGACGTTGACGCAGTGCATCTCGTCACAGAGTCCCGCAGGCGCTTCGCGGGCTCCTGAGAATACGACTTGACCTGCAGGCTCTGCAAACTGTAGACACTTCGCGGCCTCGTGGACCCTTTATTAAGCCCAAACCTCCGCCCTCGACGTCCGATTTCACTGAAGCCCGCGAGTTTCCAGCCTCGCGTCCGTGCGCTGAGGGTTGGCTGTGCTGGTTGGCCTCCCAAATCGCGACGGAGGTTCACATGTCGTCATGTCTTGCATATGCATCCGTTCGGGCATCCATGCACATGTACGTACACGCTTGCATGCTTGCTGTGTTGCAGCCTCAAGTTCAGCAAGGGCACTTGCAGGTAGCCATGACTTGCATGCGAAGCTGTACTGCAAGTTCTTCAACCAAACCAAGCAACGTGAAATGCCACAGCCGTCCACTCTCGCAGGGCCAATGGAGCACCTCGAAGAGCTTGCAGGCGTCGGAGCCGAAGTAGCCGACCTCACGTTGTTCGGGTCTTTAGAGATGGAAGGTCGTAGGATTTAGGGCTTCTGTGTGGTGCTCAAGTTCAGCCTGGATGACTGACCAGCCACCCAAGCGACTATAGCGACTCTGCATCTGCATCCTTCCTTGCCTCTCTCTCTCTCTCTGTGTTCTTGTGCTGGGCAAAAGATTGCGCTGCTACAACGTGGCTGACCCGCCTGCCGTCGGCTTCGAGCGTGACGTTCTGAGGCTTCAGAGCCTGTCAGAAACAGCCCGCCCCCGGGCATTTCCGAAAACACACCCTCTTGAGACAGGGTGGGGCGGGGTGAATGGATGGACGTTGATTGAAGCTGCTTTTACCGTACAGGACTGAGCAACTGACAGATGCTTCTCAGGCTGAGGCTTCGAGACCTGCTTTGACTTTGATGTCTGAAGCCTTCGCATCGTGATATCATGTGTAAAGTGCTGGACTGCCGAACTTGACGTAGGGCATTTCATCTTGTAATACCTTGCATTTCTTGAAGCCTTGCGTTCGCGACTGTCACACGTGAGTTTTGTACTGATTTGCGAGAGGCCTAGGCCACATCGGCAATACTCTTCTTCTGAAGGAAATGGGTGAGACGCCCTTCGACATGGAGATTCACCCGGAAAAAACGGAAGCTCCCTAAACCCGAAACCCTAAACACCTCTTTTTTGCTGTCTTCAAGTTCCCAAGCCTTGATGCTGCCTGCTTCTGCGCCGGAGTTCAGCTCCACGAGGTACCGCCCATCCTCCTGAAAATGCTGGCGGAGCCGCTGTTGGGGCTCGTTTGGGCTTCCACAATTCCCGGCCCAGAGTTTCTGCTGGGCATCTGTTTTGCAAGTGCTTTAGCAGTTGCATCTCTCAAACCCACAAAGAGAGCTTCACACTTGGGCCCCGTTCCTTGGCGACAAGCGTGCCGGTGCTGCCATTCCTGAGGCTGAGGCTATGCTTGGGATGCCATGCCTTCACCGAGTTTCAAGACATCCGAGAGCCCTTATAGTACACAATAACTAAAATAAGGAACCCCCCGAAAGAGTATAGTATAAGTAATTATAATATGCCCCTATATTACTCTGGGCTCCCTGCAAATGCTTGGCACCGGTGAGGCCGTCGACGCGCACTTTGCTCCCCTCCACTAAAGGCCGGCCCTCGGCACGTGCCGGTGATGGCACGGATGGCGCAGCCGATGGCGCAGCCGCCGTAGGAGCCTTCAAAGGTGGCATGTCGTCTTCATCCTGGTCGGCACCTGTGCAGTGTGAAGTTACACCTACTTACTAATGAGTTTTGGAGGTTACTGTGCTCTCACTATAATAAACAGTTGCTGCATGATCCACAGGATTCAAGCAACAGGCATTCGAGCCTGCTTGCCGACCCTGTGCCCACTTGAAGCCGCCCTGGAACTCATTCACAGACCTGTGCAGTAGATGCTCTAAGCCAAGCACGGCACCATGTGTCTGGCTATCCGAGTAGCATGATGACCAATGAGACCGAATAGCGTCTATTGGTTTACTTGTCACCGTTGTTTCTGCATCCCATCCATCTAGCAGTCACCAATACATCCATCATCTTTACCAGATGGTCATGATTATTCGAACTACCATTGTATTGTTCTCGCCATCATCACTACCTGTCCTGTCCTTCACCAGCACCATCACCACCACCACTCCAAAACCCTGCGTTACAAATCCAGCAGAAAGCAACACTGCAATCTCAAATCCTATTGCAAGTATTCTCATCTAAGTCTCCATCACGACTACAACACTGCAGCCTGCAACAAGTACTCATCTGCGACCAACCGGTGGCCCGACACAAAACCCGAATATTCTGCGACGCCTCCGAGACATCCGGTTGAGGAGTACAAGTTGTCTACTGGTTGCTGGTTACTGCAACCAAGAGGTTGTGTGGCTTTTCAATTCGTCATGCTTACCTCTTGTTTCGCCTGGTTCTGCATTTCTGTCCTTTGCTTTCGGGAAGGTTTTGAACCTAAATTGACAAGTGGCAGTTTGAATTCGCAAGACACACATCTGGCCAGACATACGTTCAACAGAAACAGTGAAGTAACTGACTACCCCAAGGCCTGAGCCAAATTGAAGCCTCCCACACAGAATGTCCCTTGTGCGCCTTGGCTTCTGGTAGTGCACCCGGGGACCCGGGTTTGCCGAGAAGCCGCTAACTCCTTCGCACAGTGACGGCTAGGCAGCAGCTCGGTTATGCTAGCTGATGCTGCGTCATGTTGTTTTTTGCTGTTGCTTTGGCTGCTGCGTTGTTGCTTGTGTGGTCATCATCATCATCGTCGTCGCAACAACGATGCAAATATTTCTGACGTGCGTTACTGGCGCTGCTGCTGTGTTGGCTGAAGCGGTTGAAGCGGGCGTGATGATGGTGGCGATGCTGGCTAGTATCGTTCTCATAACGTTGTTGATGATGTCGACACGGATGCTGCAGCTGTCGATGAAGCTGGTGATGATGAAGGTCATGGCGACGATGACGACTGCGAGCGTGACCATCCTCTTTTTCTCCGCTTCCGCACAACCATAGAACCTTCACTACTGCAAGAGTCATCAAGCGAAGCACAACTGGGCCAGCGTCACAATCAAGACCACATGCAGTCACGAGTCGCGGCAGCATCAGCAACAACATTACCACCACCAGCAACAACTACAGCTAACACGTAAAAGGTCGACATGCTTACCAAACCAGGCAACAACAACAGGCACGCCAAGTACTCGTGTTGTTTAGGCCAAAAGTGGTAGCATGACGTCTCACCGAAGTTGTCATGACGGATTGTATAAACTGACTGTTTCATACGTCTCCTGACAGCTACGACAGTAATGGAGCCAACAAAAGACAGCAAGATCGACGACGGCAACTACGACAAGACCACATCAATACCAACAAGAAGGGCAACCTAAGTGAAGCTTGGTCTGACTGCAAAGTGCGATTCCTGGCTTTCGTTTGCAATGCTTCTTCCTCGAATGCTTGATAATCTTACTGTCTCCCGGCTCCCTCACTCTCTACTGCTCTTCTCTGGAGCAGACTCATCCCCAAACCCTAAACCCCAAACTCAGGATTGCCCCTGTGGGCTGCCGGAGGCTTCCAAGCTCAGGCTGTGGCCACTCATCGCTCCATGGGCAGAAAACTTCAATCTAGCGATCTGCTGGGCGAGGCATAACGGGCATACTAGCTGCTAAGAAGCTACTAGCAATCATGCTATGAACGACGGGTCGTGACGAGGGGAGGTTACCTTCGTAAAGCTCTTTTGCAACCAAACATTACCTATGCGCTTCCCGACACTACATACGAACCAGAAGTCAATTATCGGAGATGAAGGGTTGCTGGCGATTCTTGGTGCGTGTGCTCTTAACGGCTTCTGTTGGACGTCGGCATGTGCTGCTGTAGCAATCTCTAGGATGCGCAAAGCGCTTCGGTGGAGCCGTGGGAGGGCGACGCGCATGAACCACTCTCCTGTGCCACTAGTATGGGTTGGTCGCTGCGTGAGCTGAATCGAAACTGGGAGAACAATTGCGAGGTGGAGGGCAAAGACAGAAGATGTTGAATCTCAGAGCGACCGGGTCACTCTCCCCCAACACAGCATGTCGTATCTTCCACGGCCGTCCGTCTTTTGCCATCACTTCGTACTCCAGCGTCAGGACCAGAGGTCTTAAGCTCGAGGCCTTGAGTTGGCCAGCTTCAACTGCAAAAGGCTGCCGAAAGAGGGCATCTTGCCAAATCATGCCTGTTGGTGCTGGAGGCGGGGCTACGGGATATACAACCGTCCTGTCCCGGTCCACGCTATGCAAGTTGTTAGTGAAGACCCAGACTGGTGACCCTTCCCCAGATAAACGCTGAAAGACAAAGATGTGCTCGTCGCCATAGTGAACTTTTGCACTCGCCGTCTCCAGGCGATTGTGTCGACGGATGGCATTCATCTTGGAGATCAGTTGATATTGCCACGCAGAGCGATTCCAGCCGAACTGCCACAGGGAATTTCGGTACTCTGTATTTCCTTGCTCGTCGCCCCAGGTCACTGCCGGCATGCCCTTGGTGAACATGAGCCATGCCCATGCATTCAGGACCAAGGATTCATGAGCTTTACAACCTCCAGTCCCTGGGGAGAAGGGGCCTGCCGACTCTCGGTACATGCCGAAGATAGGGCCATCGTCCTGGCTGCTCACCATGTTCATCAACAAGTCCGTGTTGCTGTATGCATGGGACTTCCACTGCCTTTCACTTTCAACAGCAAGGTGCGTGAGATTGAAACCACTGGTGGGAGAGAGGGCATGGTTCGGCCAGCCGCAATAGCCAGGTGCTGCAGCATAAGATAAGGGGAAGTTCTGCAGACCGCTCAGAATTCGTTGGCCATCATTCTGCTGGAAGGATGCGTGGAAGCTCATGTTCCCTGTCGTGACTTCACCGACCACCTGGATCGGCTTCTCAAGCATGCTGAGATGGTCCTGCAAAATTGTGACGGCGATGATGACAGTGCTGCTGATTACGTGGGCACGATGTAGATTGGGTTTCTGTAAGAACAGTTTCGACGGTTACTCATCTTGCCGATATCGGCTCGGATGTAACTCGTTGCAACACGGCCAAGCTACTTGACGCCAGGTTTCTGCGCAGTGACACCTTGCGACGAGCATTTTGGTGATTGCAGTGAATGCCACTATGACTATGACATATCAAGATTCTTGTTGTTGTTGCTCATATAGCAGTTGTTGTCATTATCATTATTGTGCTGCTGCTGGTGATGAAGGATAAGACATAAATAATAATAAGACTCCATGTTGTCTTCACCCCCTCACTGTCATCCTCATCTTGCTCATCGTTCATATCCGCTTCAGGATGACGATCACAGCCCTCATCGCACGCATGATGTCACTGTCACAATCTTATTCTTGCGCTTCTTCTTCATCGTTTATCTTTGCCACCCTCGTGATCAAACACCTGGCCAACATCATGGTCACGATAGCCATCAGCATCACTAGCAACACCATCACCATCATCATCCTCATCCTCATCCTCATCATCACCATCATCACCATCATCACCATCATCCCAGCATCACTGTCATCATCAGCATCACAATTATCATCGCCACCACTATCACAATCACCGTCACCACCATCATCGTCACCATGATGACCACCATCACCAGAATTTGCATCGTCGTCATCATCATCGTCATCCTCATGGTTATTATCATCAGCATCAACATCGTCACCATCATCGTCATCACCATCATCATCAGCACCATAACCATCACCACCACCATCAGCAGCAGCACCACCATCGTCATCATCATCATCATCTTCTTCTTCTTCACCACCACCATTATCACCATCACCACCATCATCATTGTCATCATCCTCCTCCTCATCATCATCAAGCTCATCTTTTTGTCCTCCCTCGCACTCTTGCTCCTTCGGACAGTGGCGATCCTCAATCCTTCTCGTCATCTTACATATCCTTCTCATATTCATCGCCGTCACAACGTTTATCCTCATTGTCCCTCCTCGCGATCACCACCATCTTTCCTAGAATGCCGGGACGGGCCATGGAGGGGCCAGATTTCAGGTGCCAGGCTCGGTCCTGCACCTCCTGTAGGAAGTCGTGGGCCATGAAGGCGGCCGTGTCCAAGCGCAGGCCGTCCACTTGGAACTCAGTCACCTTTGACAGGGCATGCTGCCTGCTTGCTGACCTGTTTCCTTGCATCCTTGCACCTGTCTGCTAGCCCTCAGGAGCAAAAAGGACTCTGCAAAACAGCCTAGATATCCTTATTTCAATGCCGGCGGCCATGTAATGTACCCAATGTAGCAGGCTTCGCCGTACGAAGGGCACAGACTGGTTCAAGTCCGCGAGGTCGTAGAACCAGCCTTCCTGATTCACGGTCTCATTGTAGCCTGGATCGCTATGGTTTGCGGCTGGAACAAGCGGATCCTTATGGGAATTGGAGCCTCAGCACATACTCAACTTCGTCACTTCAGCTTGGTTTGTCTCGTGCAGGGGCCTTCTCAGGACCTCCAGACTCTAAGGTTCTATGGTAGCTTCACCCCTCGCCCCGCCCGAAAGACACACACAGAAGTAGAGGTTTGCTCATTTCGGCTCTTCTTCCCGTCTCACGAGATTCGGCCTGGGCAGATGTAGTCGCCGGGGCCACAGTACTTCAAGGCGGCCGGCCCGGCAGCCACTGGGCCATGGTAGGTCTCAGGGTTGTAGACATTGCCCGGGTAGTTATTGCAGAAGGTGCCGTTGTTGGTGCCGTCGGGAGTCCCGTTGCTGAAGAACTGCAGATAGCAGGCAGCTCCCGGACCGAGGGCTTGCGTTGGGTAGGGCCACCTCTGGGCTTTTCCCGTGTATTCGTCGAAGCTCATGTTGCTGATGTTCAGAAGGTGAAGGTGGTGAGTTTCATTGAAGGGCTTCACGTGTCGGAGGTCCTCCAAGGAGTGGATGGGCCGGATATGGTTCAGAACAATATCAAGAATGAAGCACATACCATGCCGGTGAGTCTCTTGGATCAGTTTCTTCAGATCTTCCTTCGTGCCGAAGTTTGCATCTATTTGATACAAGTCCTCCGCCCAGTATCCGTGGTAGCCGTAGCCACTCTCTTCAGAGGCCGGGCCATAGAAATTCTTGACCACCGGGGTGACCCAAATGCAGTCGAAACCCATACCGCTGATGTAATCAAGCTGGCTTGTGATGCCCTGCAACGTGCCGTTGCACCACCCCCTGCCGTTGCATGCAGCTTGTCCTTGGGGTTTCGATAGGGCGAAACGGTCGGTCATGACCAAGTACACCGACTTCCCTGCCAGGTCCGAAAGCCTGGAAGGCCCGAACGGCCGAACACCGGTGGATCCCGACACAATGTGGGCTGCGTGCTGGAGGAGGTGCAGATCCTCGAAACACTGTACCTGAAGTAGGACCTGAAGAGCGCAAAGGAGGGCCAGCGCAGCGACATGTACCGGGATTCTCGTCATTGGAACGGCTCTACGGGAATGCAATCAGGCAGAGCTGAGAGCTCACAATGTTGTATGTAGCTAACGTAGTATTGCATTGTGGTGAGGGTTGCAGCAACAATAAAATGCTACGCCTTTCAAAGACATCATGGCAACGCCGAGAAACTCACACACCGAACGAGCTTGTGTGGCATAAAGCAGACTACAAGGCATTGAAGCAAGCCGGTTGCTGACTGAAAACGAACCGGAGTAAGCTAGGCTATGACTGTAGGGGGAGCCACGAATAGGCGGGTCTGCGCAATCATTTTCTATCGAAAACGGACAAGCCGTGGCCGGGTACGGCAGATGCGGTCGGTACAAACCCGTATTTATCCTTACATCCCGCACTTCTATTTTACCAATGACGCCGCTGAGTGAAACCCTGCAGCTTTGCATCCTTTTTCGCCGGATTTCTGAGAGTTTACCGCTTCGATCGCTTCGGAATGAAATCAATCTCCCCTTTGGCCAGCTGCCTGGGGGTGGCCCTTGTTAGAGCTGCATGTTGTCGTTCATTTAGCTTTGAACATGACTGCACTTGCTCTACGCTCCCCCAGCTGCTTTCCTCTTGCCGTGGGTATTTGCGACCGGCACTGCTCTTGCAACTGCTTGCTGGTGTGTTGCCGTGATAAGTGTTGCTCTGACTACGACACGTCGTGCTTGCGCAGTCTTGTTGAATGCCATCACCGCTCCGCTCGTTGATTCTTCCGATGAAAGAGTGGAGAAGTGAGCGGACAAGTCAACCACAACTACTCTTAGCTGAAACCTTTACAGTACAGGCGAACATGAGCTCGAATAATGAACCCGAAGCCCTGATCCGGCAGTTGCCAGGCTAAGATCACATGGTCAAGACACCCCAATATAAATATAGTACAGCATATCCCAGAAACCCTATTCTAGTTATGAAGACCCCCTTATCTATCTATATATATATATATATCTCTCTCTCTCTCTCTATATATATATATATATATATATTAGCCCTTGAAGGACCAAGGCCTCACTCGAAGTTTGGCCCCCGTCGCACCCGAGGCGAGGTGGCTGCAGTAGGCCTGGTGCATATCTTTCATCGACACGTCCTGACACCAAGGGAGAGAGCCAGGCACCAAAAGGGTACGTAACCTGAACTCTAAAAACCCCCCCTGATGTTGCAACAGGGTGAATGGGCTCAAGAATCGAGGACACAAGCTCGGATTCAGGTTTCGAGCACCAAGGCCCTGTGGCCCTCAAAGATCCCTGAGCTCCGACGGCACTTCCCCTACCACCAAATTCCAACTTCGCCGTAAGCCATCCTATGCCTAAGCTCTGTCCGAACACATCCTCTTCGCTTAGCTCGATGTCTTGTCTCCTTGAAGCCCTGGGATCCGAAGATGTCGAAGTTCTTCGCAACGATCGCGGCTTGCTTGCGGGCACGCAAGAGGCCACGGACCATACCATCCTGAATGCAGGCGCGGAAATGGGCCGACGACCCCTTCAGTTCCGGGCTTCGGGTCAGGCCTTGCCCCAGCCTTGAAGATCCAACTGCTGACGAGGAAGCCCTCGAGCTTCTTGCCAAAGTAGATGAGTTGAATCGGGTTGATGGCAGACAGGTCTTTGCCTGAGAGCCGTCCGTAGACCCAGGCCGTGCCGCCGGGGGGAAGCAGCCTCATGATGCTCGCCAGGTGAAATAGCAACTAATCCGTTCTAGGGGCGACGGCAATGACGAAGAAAACAACAACAAATATGTTATCGAACATCCTACACGTGATCATGGTCGCGATCATCGACTTCATCATCTTTTCACCGGCATGACCTTTTTGACAGTATGATGGTGGCTGATGCCCGCTTGACTCATTGACAAAACCGATCAGAGAAACGCAAACTGTTCGGGTAGACTGGCTGGTGGAGGAAGGGCCCTGCCAAATTACACCCAGGCTACCTACCAGACCTTCTCCCAGTCTGACATGCCCCGCTCCCCACAACAGGCACCGACTTACTCTTCTCAGGAACCCAACCAAATAGTTGCACCTCCGCTAAACAAGCCGAGCCTATCAAGGAAGCGTTGAAGCGACAACAGTAAGGGGACCGGCGACCGGCAAACTTAGAGGTCGAGAAGGAGTGCTGGATGAAAAAGCTCCTGGACAGCATGCTTATCATTATTCCCTACTAATTACCCACCATCATCAACCGTTATTGCAGTTTCATCAGGATCATCTTGTCGTTGTCCTCCGCCTCATCATCTTTATTCTCCATCGTTCTCCTGCGGCGGCCTCAGGCTCGGAGTTTGCTGGCCGTGGAAGCTTCAACCCAACAGCAACGTTGGGTTACTTAAAGGATCATGGGACTGTTATAATCAGGCTAACTATACTTATAACCCCAATTAAGGGACTTATAACCTTACTTACTAAGTCCCATGATCCTCCAAGTAGGTCAGCTTCACTCTGCGCTGTCCGGAGACCCCTGGCCACGCGGCGGTATCTCAGCCTGTCTCGCTCGGCACATTCCGGCGTTCCGCGGATGGATTCAACAACTGCTCACTTACTTTCAACCTGTGTTGTGGCCATATGCAGTAACCAGCAAATCGTTGCGTCGGCAGACCACCGAAAACCCGAACCCTCCCAAAATCACCCAAAATCCCGAATGCCCCAAATCCCAGCCAAGCAGCTCGATTAGCTCAGCGGTGAAGTCACCAGCGATGCAGTCCACCACCTGCGAGATCTGAAGCTCCATCATCATCTTCCTTTGGTCGTGCTTCGTGCGAAACAGGGAAGGAATGCTGTTTTCACGTCGGGGTTCGGAGCAATGGAGCTACAGTTGCCTGTACTTCTAGCCCTAGCCAAAGCACCATTTTTCACCCGAAGCCGCTTGAGTACTGGGGACAGCACCACGAATACCACAACGACATCGGCTTCAGCTGAGCTTCCCAAGTGCTGACTTCCATTCTGGATCGCTGGTGTTCACGATGTACTTCGCCCCGAGCTTCTGAAGCAGCTCGACCTGCTCCTTCCTCCTCACCAAATTCACCAAGGCAATACCTGGAAGCCAGGAGGTTTGATAGGGGTGTAGCGCTGTGTTCGAGGGAAGGGAAGGATCATGTTTGAGGACTCCTATGCCAAAACACTGACGTGCTCTAGGGCAGCAGGGCCGCCCTCCTTCTGGCAGTACTTCACCATCATCTGGCCCAGCTGTGATGCCGCAGCTGTGTGAATGAAGGCCTTCCCCTTCTTAGAGCGTACAGCCTCGACGATGGAGATCACGGTGAAGGGATTCACGAAATAGGCGCACGCATCCTGCACCCATCTTTTTTGGAAGATGCGATCCCCTCAAACATGGATGCCGTTGCAATGTTATCGAAACTTCAACTGTAGCATCTCCTGTGTTATATATATATATATATATGTATATATATATATATATATATATTATATTTATATATTTATATGCATATATATATATATATAATACACACACATATGCACATTTAGACATTTTATGTAGAAACGCGCCCATGATGTGAAATCACATCCCAGAGCGTTGGATGAACACACCGCACCCGCTTAATGCCTTGCAGTGACCTGAAGCCCGTGGACATCCTTTGGCCACGGCAGCCGGATGACAAATTCCACCCTAAGCCCGCCAAACCGTCCTCCACCTGAATGCTGCTGGGCAGGCTCCAAGGACCCATCCCAAAAGCATCCACGACTGCATACTGTGCATAGGACTTTCCTGTGAAGGCGACCTGTGGGCGACAGAAGCTCTCACGGCGGGCAACGTAAGACGTACGGCGTAAGGGATGCCAGACACGGTTCTTCTTCGAGGTCACTTTCTTCATGCTGACCATGTCGGAAAAAAGCCCACCATGGTTGCTTGCAATCATGTGCACCACTGGACACACTTATACTGTGCACGGCAGCATGACTCCGCAACACATAGCAAATATTCAAACGCCAGCCCCGACAAGCCAATCCAAGACTGCATCCGTGGAATCAGGAAGTCAAGAAGCCTTCTTCCCCACGAATTGCGATGCGAATACGCCGCCGCCAGTGGCAACCACCAGCCCGGAGCCCTCGTTTCCCAACGGCAACCTCGGGTCATAACAGTGGAACATAACATCAGACCATGAAGAAAGCTTGCGGTATCTTGCGGTTATCAGCAGGACATGTGCCTTCTCGTGGATTCCATATGGCATGTAGATCAACTCAGAGTTTGCTGGTTTTTATATTCCATATACATATATACACAGACATACATATGCATGTGTTGTGTTCATGCATGTACATAAGCTACACGTGTGTGTATGCAATAGCGCCAACATTTACAGACAATGTTAACGTTGACGCTACATGCCTTGCTCCCCCTCACCCCCCAACCAAAGGACTGCCGTGGTAGGGCTCATTGCGAGCAGCGGCTCTTCTGACCTGTACATGATTCGCTGTGTTCAGGCAACCATATATCCCAGAAATGAAAAAAAGAGCCTGGACTCAGTCTTCCTGTTCAGTCGAAACTGGGCATGCCATGCCGAGAAGCGGATAGCCATGTGAAGGTGCTTTCCTCATCCGGATATTTGGGCGGGCATGTGCAAGAACAGCTTCAATGGCAGGATGCCTAACAACAAATCGCAGCAGTAGAAACACACAGGTCGTCACCATCGTCAGCATCACGGACCACCGCCTTCAAGATCATTGGTATCATCACCATCATCCTCACAACCCACCATCATCACCACCACAACCAGCATCATGCCTATCCACACTTTGCTATCAACAGCAACACTACCGTCGTCAACTTCATGAGCACCACGACCACGATCAGCATCGTTATCATTATCGTAATCATCATCTCCTCACCCTTTGTGGCCCTCACCAGCATCCTACTCTCATCGAAATGTTCACCCTCAACATGCCATCCACCGCTCCTATCGTCATCTTCAGCGGCACCGGTGTCGTCACCCTACACATCTTTAGCAGCGCCGTCGTCATCAGATCCTGTGATAGTGGAGCCTCTTTTGGAGCGAGGTACCAGCTCCAGGTTTCGTCAATGGAGCAACTTTGCTTTTCTCTGCGAAACTTCTGCGTCTCCCGGGTGCAGCAGATTTCCCTTAAAAGTGACGGACATGCTCTCTTCAATCACAGCCCCTTCTTCTGACGCCATGTCCTGTGCACGTAATCGCTAGCACAAGGCACTTCCATACTCCGTCGTCCGAGGGGTTCACCGGAGCAGCAAGTACCTCGAACAACTACGGTGGCAAACAGCCACTCGTGCCATGAGTGCTCTGGAGAACGCAGCATTTGTAAGGGGATGTTGTGTGAAAGGCAGGGAGGTGAGCAGGCGAAAAGATGAGGATGAAGAACATGGCAAGCTCGAAGACTTCCGCAAACTTTCGTGACGGGGCCTGTCTTCTACTCGCTTCACATCTGTTGCTATGCTGCATAGAGCCCCATAAGACCTGAATCCCCCAGTTGCCCTGTCACATCGCGGCCTTGATCAGCAGCTGGCCAGGCTTTGGCTGCGGTGTGTCGACCTCTTCGATCTCGAGCTTCGCAAGGGTAATGTCCTTGTTTGCCTGGCGGGGAAGTTTGGTCTCCGAATTCGGTCATGTGTAGCCCACAAAGCTACGAGCACAAGGCTTCTGATTCCGAAATGAACAATCCTCCGCAGCCCGTCGGACTCAGATGTTCAATAAAAGGCACACAGCCGTCCGCTGCAGAGGGGGCCTCTCGAAGCACCAAGCGCTGCATCTTCGGCCTCAGCATCTTCGCTTTCGTGGCCGAGTGATTCAATCAACTCGTCGATTGCAAACTGTCATCCGCAATCTTGAAGCTCCCACCCCTGACCGTCTGTCCAAGCAAACACAGAAGAATTATGCAGTGCTGCTCAGCAAACTTTGACTCTTCTCGCTGATCACCCCTCCACTCCTGCCCTCCGGGGCAGCTGCGGAACTTCTTCGACGGATTTGGGCTTCCTGGCAGAAGGATCAGAGTCATTTGCATTCACAGTGACTTAGGGCCTAGGTCTTGGGGAAGCACGAATAACAACATGCCCGCGATCACAGATCACAGGGTGGTGGGCACCCTGCCTTCTGTGCTGCAGCCATGCGAAGCAGCCCCCACCAACGAGCACCGCGGTGAGCGTCTCCATGGCAAACGCAGGGTTTTGAAGCAATTTACCGTGACAAAACTGAATTCTGTGGCTTCGAAGAAAACTGCTGTGAACCTGCTATGCATTTGTGCGAAAATGGCTGGAGAAAGTGACCAGGAAGAAATCAGCAGGATGCCAAAAAGGCTGTGGCAATGGTTGCAATAACAGCCACCCGATGATCGATGACGATTGCCACGAGGATGCGTTGAGGCGCATGACATACCGGTGATGGCCTGTGGATCCCAGAAGCCGATGCATCAAATCTCAGCTGAAATGCGAAGGTGTTGTTGAGAGGGAAGTCGGGGTGCTTACTTGGGGTCCGAAACTTTAGCCTTCACGCCCGTCCGGTGACACTTTCTGCAGGCTGCACGATCATGCAAGGTCTGCTCTGCTCCATTCCGGCACTTTCTTCGAAAGATGCCACTCGGACACCGCATCTCATGGCTTGTGGCCACTTAGCTGCTTGCTTCACAGCGCATGTCAGTGTCCTGTCAAACGATCTGGACAACAGCCGTGGCCCCGTCTTTTGACAGCTTATTGCCTCCGGCTGGCGCCATGACCCCGAAAGCCCTTGAGCAACCCAGCCACTGGCGGGTGGGCCATCCTTCTGCACTCTATGGCAACAGACTCCGAGGCACTGCAACTCGTCGAGTCGTCGAATCAGGGCTACACACGATGCGGATGTTGCTCGGCTTGGCCCGGGCAGACAAGGATACAAAACGAGGTCATGCTGTGCTGCAGTGGTTACCTTACCTAAAAGACGAAACATATACGAGATATGGTGCCCAGCATCAGCGATCAACAGTAGCACTGCTGACTAGTCAAAGAACACGACAAACCAATACTGGTATTTCTAACGCTGGCATGACGCCGATATCACAAGAGTACTAAACTCAACAGCACGGATGCTAATCAAGGCAATAGTTCCAAGGTCAGTAGGCCAATAATTGCCGCACCAGTAGCATCAACAGACGTGGTAGCAATAGCATCACTAGCCCAGAGAAAGGAATGAGACACTCTCACAGACCTGTCTGCGCACGTGCACATCTACATACGCAGACATGTCTAGGACTATGAAGTAATCTTATCTCCAGAACCATCGACAGCATCGTGTGTGGAAGACGGAGGCACTGGGAGCCCGTTCTGCGCTTGGGCTCAGGTCGTCGAGAAACTCTCTGCTCCTTCTCCAAGGCGCTCAACGCACCTTCCTTCTCCGAGGTCGTCTCAGGCCGCTGAGATTTTGGACGATGCTCCTGTTGACGGTGCCTTTCTTCGCCGATTCCGGGCCGTCGGTGCCCTCCGTGGGCCCAGTCGTAGCGGTTGTCGAGCTGCGCGAAAGGCGCGGTCTTGGCTTAGCCAGCAGCCCGTTTGGGAAAAGCTCTGTCAGGAAGCAGCCTCAGCAAACAGCTTCCAGGCAAACTAGACACGCACTCAAACATGTCGGCCAAAAATTCCACCCCCTTGTTCGCAGCCCTGGAGCTGGGGGTGGTCTTGCCGCTCCCACTCCCAATCTGCGGGTGTCAGGCTCCTGCAACACAGGCTATTCCTGCGAAGTTGTGGATATGTGGAGTGTCGGACCGCCGGTCTTAGGTCCTTGCTCAGCCCCAGCATGAGTCGGACCTCTTTCTGCTGATGCCTGTGATATCTTGATCCTAAACATCTGCCTGGAGATCGCTACAGTCTACAGGTTTGCATTGCTGCACGCACCTGCGTTCACAGAGAGTGAGATGTAAACCCTGAATCCAAAGCTTTGCATCGTGTACGGGTCCTGGTGTTGTTGACGACACGTGCAACTCGCTCAAGGAAGCCTTCGGTGGAGTAGACCTCCCTGCCGAGAGTTGCACAAAATCCCCGATTGCACATTGCATTAAGCATTGATGCTGATGGTGCTTGTGGTGGTGGAGGTAGTGGTTGTTGTTGTTGTTGTTGTGGTTGTCGTTGTCGTTGTCGTTGTCGTTGTCGTTGTCGTTGTCGTTGTCGTTGTGGTGGTTGTTGTTGTTGCTGTTGTTGTTGTTGTTGTTGTTGTTGTTGCTGCTGCTGCTGCTGTTGCCGTTGCCGTTGCCGTTGCTGTTGCTGTTGTTGTTGTTGTTGTTGTTGTTGTTGTTGT